GAACTGAAAAGAGAAATAGATAAACCTACAATTACAGTTGCAGACTTTACTACCCACTCTTACCAGTTGATTGATAGGATGACTAAACAGAAATAGCAGTTACTGAAGAACTCAATACCACCATTATCCAACAGGATCTAGTTGACATTTTAAAAATGCTCTATCCAGTGAGAAGAGTATACATTCAAGTGCCTTGAAAGAGAGATCTACTCTGGGCCATAAAACAAACCTCAACAAATTTAAAAGAAAATCATAGTGTACATGATTTCCAACCACAATGGTATCAGAATAGACATCACTAACAGAAAACACAGACATCACCAAAATGTGAAGGCTAATCAACATACTTCTAAATAATCCGTGGGTCAAAGAGCCTAAAGGAAAATATAAAAAAAAAATACTTTGAACTAAATGAATATGAAAAGATACCAAATTTCAGGCAGCTAAATCAGTGTTGGAAAATTTATAGTATTGAAAGTTTAATTTTAAAAGTGGAAAAGTTTGAAGTCAGTAATCTTAAGAGTTCACCTAACTCAGGAAAAGAAGAGCCAAAAAAATCTCAAAACATTAGAGGGAATGACAAAAAAAGAAAGTAGTTGAAATCAGTGACATTTAAAATGGGAAATAGTATAGAAAATTAATAAGAACTGATTCTTTGAAAAATTCAGTAAGTTTTAAAACCTGTAGCAGAGAAATGAAATTTCCAGTTTGGGAAATGAAAAGGATATATCACTGCAGATCTTGTAGATACCAAAGTGATATAAAAAGGGAGTAGTATAATGAACAACTCTGCACACAGAAATTTGACAGCCTACTTTATTAGCTAAAATGAACTAATACCTTCAGAAGCACAAGCTGTAACTTAACCAATATGAATTAGATCATTTGAATACCCCCATAAATATTAAGCAAATTAAATTCATAATTAGAAATCGCTTGAAAAGGAAGTCTACAAATCTGGATTATTTCACTGGATATTTGTACCACACATTTTAAGAACACTGAATACCAGTTTTACCAATCTCTTTCAAAAATAGAAAGGTCAGAATCCTTCTCAATTTGTTTTATGAAGCTGCTGTTATCCGGATACTAAGCCAAGACTCTGTGTGTGAGTGTGTGTGTGTGTGAGAGAGAGAATTTTTCATGCATATAAGAAAATTCTTACCAAAACATTAGCAACTGGAACTAAGCAACATAGAAAAAAGTATTACACCTAGGCACAATGAAGCACACCTGTAATCCCAGCAACTAGAGAGGCTGAGGCAGAAGGATTATACGTGCGAGGCCCTGGCTTCGATTCTCAGCACCACATTAAAAACAGACAAATAAAATAAAGGCTTGTGTCCAGCTACACAGCCTTAGCAATTTAGTGAGATCCCGTGTTAAAAAGGACTGGTGAAGTAGTTCAGTGGAGCCCCTGGGTTCAATTCTCAGTACCCACACACTCACCAAAAAACAAAACAAAAAACCTAACTTCAGGAAAATAACAGAATTAGAATGCTGTAACTCAATACTCTGAGTATTCTGTCTCAGTACATTTTGTGTTGCTAATAACAGCTCCGCAGACAGGGTAAGTTACCAAGACTAGAGGTTTATTTTGGCTCACTTCTGGTTCAGGGTGACGGGTTGCATCAAGTGATGGCCTTCTTGCTGGCAGAGTTCCCAGGCAGTATGGGGCATTACATGGTGCACAACAAGAAGCACTGCTGATCTTTCTTTTAAGAAGCCTCAGTATTCAGTCATGGAGCTCCACCCTGATGACCCTACCTAAACCTGATCACCTTCCAAAATCCCCACCTTATAACACCATAGGTAATTGAGCTTCCTTCTTCATACCTCAAAATGGAGATTAAATGTCAGCATGAGTCTTAGAGGGAACAAACCATATTCAAACCATAGCTCTTCACAAACTAGCAAACCAAAACTTGGTATTCAAGGGAAGAAATGAGTGAAAAAAAGGAAGAAATGCAGCAAAAGTATATCAAACTCAGGAAAGAAATTGAAGAAAACTGTCTTAAAAGGAGGAATAAATTACAAAATAATCAAGAGTGAAAATCTGAAGGACATCCAATGAAAATGAGATGAAGAAGCAAAAAAAGATCTCAGGAAAAAGTAAACGAGAAGATCAGCAAAGGAGCTCCAGTTAATGGAATTGTGTGAAAAAGAAAAATCTTGCAACAGAAGTAATGGTTAAATTATGATTCAAAAAAACTTTCTGGGAATGAGGAATATATTAACTACAACTTTAAAAGGACCCACCGTGTACCTGGAAAAATTGACCTAGAACAATGAAATCTGAGATGCAGTAACTTTTTAATTGATAATTTGGGTTATCATTATACTTCTGAAGGTAAATCATAGCAATAGAGTAGCAATATCAAGAAACTCAAAGTATAAGCCAAGGATTTGATATCAAGCTGAGTTTTTCTTCAGTTATGATGGTAAGAAAAAAGTGAATTTGAACATTCTAGAACTGATTGGATATTGTATTCATGAGCCATTGCGTTTATTAGCAGATGAGCCTAATCCAGCCAAAAGATCAGTGGGAAAACTTCAGCAAAAGAACTGTTAGTACTCAATACACTGAATTGTAAAATTAAGACTAAATAAAACAAGGGTGGGGACATAGATAGAAGAGAAATATGGAATGTCATATATAGTTGAACAAACTATAAAGAATATCACATTTAGAAAGGGGAGAAAGTAAAACTAGAATAAGTTCACACATTTATGTGGATAAAGACAAAGGATACTTAAAACTGGCAGACCAGGAAAAAAGTTTAAGATTAAGACTAATAGAGGAACAAAAGGAATTAAGAGCATTAACAAAAGTATAAAGGCAAAAGTAACTACTAGAGCAAAATCCCTAACCTTGCTAAATTCCAAAGAAAATGTTAAAAAAAAAAAAGTAAAGAAAGGAACATAGGAAATATACATGTAATAATTATATAATAATGACTGAGATAAAACCAGACATAGTCGAATCAATATGAATGGGCTTAAATTGGTTATTAAAATTTTTAAGCAGACATCATTAAAATTTGGTTTAGGCAAAAAGTCTTCTGAATGCCTAAAATAAAAGGTGCAAAGTTTAACCCTTGTAGTAGTAATCTGGCAAGGAATGTATAAAATTAATCTGAAGTGAATAACATTAGGCAAACCCAAACTGTAGAATGTTTTGTAAAATAACTGGTCTCTGTTCTTCAAAAAATATCAGTGTCATGAAAAAAAGTAGGTTTTGGAACTGTTTCATATTAAATCTGAAGAGACAGGTAGTCTGTGACCCTGGATGAGATTCTGTACTAAATGGGGAGAAGGGCATTGGTAGGGTGATTGGTAGAATTGGAAAATAGACTGACAAAAGTACATTGTCATTATTAAATTTCCTTAAGTTTGATAACTACTATTTATGTAAAAAAAAAATCACTGAAGTATCGAGGTAAAATTCTGAAATGGTTCAGAAAAAAATACATAATAATGCTGGGTTGGAAGGGGAATGAGGCAAAGGCAACAAAATTTTTAAAAAGTTGATGAGTTTGAGTAGAATATTTGAGTGTTCTCTAGTCTCTCCCTATCTATGAACCATAAACCAGGGACCAGTACACACATTAGTTTAGAAAAGTAGAATTTAAGTAACATAACTTTCTCAAATTCCCCCCCTCCCCGCCCCTTTTTTTTAGACATGTTTTACCAGTTCAAATTACTTGTGTTTAAAAAGCCTGGCTAATTTGGCATCAGTCCATTTTAACCTTAAGTGTGATGTCTTTGAAAGCTATTTTTTCCTCTGTTAGGTATTTGCAGCATTTACCTATCTGCATTCTTAAAATATGCTTTAGAGACAGTGAAAAAAATTGTTTTCTAAGTGTATCCCTTCATATGACTTCTGGTAAAATGCTTGGACATGTGGAAAAACCCTACTATTTGTTTTTTTCTCCCTTCTTAATGCTTCCTTCTGGTATGAGAATAATATAAAAGATGGGATGAATTTAAAAGCCTTTGGATATTTTTTCATATTTTTATCTTGTTCCAAAGTGAGGTACGTCAAATAATATGTGGATAGTAATTTGATAAGTCTTGCTGGCTATTTTGCAACTAAATCTGTGTTACTAGATTAAGCTCCTTTATTTATTTTTGAGGAACAACTTGTTCTGTGTTAACAGAAAGAAGTTTTAAAGATACTTTGTCATAATGATTCTTTTTTTTTCTTCATACGTAATAAATATAGGTGAAGGAAAGAGAACATCAAATGAAATTTGAGATTATGTACCCAATCTTCATATGCTATATTGACTAAGTTTTTAATCATGAAAAGCCAGTGATTAAAAAATGATTTTATGTCTCTTGATTATTCAGTAGTATTTATAGTGAGTTTCTTGCTTCTGTTTGTTACAGAGAAGAAAAAAAATCACATGGTTCTACTGGGTGAAAAATTCGGGAACTTTTATACCTTTTCCAATACAGTATCTCACATGCAGTGAGACTTCACCATGGTTTTCAATCTTTATACCTAGTGCAATAGGAAATTAATTTTTGATCCTGACTCTCTTGTTTACAGATGATTATATGATTTTTAAGCATTTGGATGGTGTGAATTTTTCAGAGGACAATGTTATTTACTGTACAGTTTTAAAAAGTTCTATTATAAGATTACATTTCTAAGAAGTATAGAATTACTTTTTAATGTAAAGATCAAGATTTTGTTTTAGGTTATTTAGCCAAATACCACAATGTACAGTCACTAAAAAATAGGTAGAAATGACTGATATGCAGTACGAAGAAAAATAAGTTTTGTGCAAAAAGAAATACTATTTTTAAATTTAAGTTTTATAGTGATACATTATTTTCCTATTGAAAACTTTTTTCCCTTGATATAATTTGTAGTCCTAATTTTCCAGTCATTCTACTTATTAACTATTTTGATAATTCCAGAGTTTTTATATTTAGGAATTTTTGTTTACATTATAAGTAATTATAAAATAATTATATTTTTTTCTAACCAGGAAGAAGCATTGCATGCATTTATTCAGCCAGAGATCCTGGATGGCCCAAATCAGTATTTTTGTGAACGTTGTAAGAAGAAGTGTGATGCTCGAAAGGTAAATGCCACATAGAGATTAGTTCTTAATTACTTGAGATAATATTCAATATCCAATAGAGTCCCTCCTTTTTGTTTCTTTTTAGGGCCTTCGGTTTTTGCATTTCCCTTATCTTCTGACCTTACAGTTGAAAAGATTTGATTTTGATTATACAACCATGCATAGGATTAAATTAAATGATCGGATGACATTTCCTGAGGAGTTAGATATGAGTACATTTATTGATGTTGAAGATGAGGTAAATATTTATTATATTTCCTTTTTTTAAAATATTTCTCATAAATCCACTTTAGTTACACATGCTTTTGAAAGAACTGTTTGAAGTAAATTAAGAGTAGATGCCATTTAGATGGTCACCTTGATAAAAGCTTTTCTTATTTTCTAATGTAAACTTCTATAAAAAAAAAACAGTTTACTTTTGTATAAACTTTTCCTGACCACCAAAAACTACGTATCAGATATTCTTGTTTGTCAAAGTAATTTATGATAACTCTTTGAAAAGACAATAAGAATTTCACCTCTGGAATTTTTTCTTGATTGTAAGTAATCATTTCATAATTTCTTAGTTATTGAAACTAATCTGCCAGTGGGCTTTTTGTTTCTGATATATACTAAACATGGAACAAATATATATGAATGAATGAATAAAGAAACTTAAGTGGCATGAATTTAATTTCTTGTATTAAAAGGAGTATCTGAGTTATTTTCGCTTAAGGTTTTCTAGCTCTTAAGTTAATTAGGTTTAAAAGAATATGAAATGCAAAGTGTTCTATTTTTCTTTTTTTTTTTTAAGAGAGAGAGAGAATTTTTTAATATTTATTTTTTAGTTTTCGGTGGACAAAACATCTTTGTTTGTATGTGGTGCTGAGGATCGAACCCGGGCCGCACGCATGCCAGACAAGCGCGCTACCGCTTGAGCCACATCCCCAGCCCCTATTTTTCTTTTTTAATTAGTTTTTTTAAAAAACCTTTACTTAAATAGGTTGATCATGGGACTTTATCATACACATGAAATGATCATCAGTTTCTTTCTACTCATTGACCTCCCAGAATTCTCTAGCGTTATTTAGTAAAAGATATATAATATCCCACTCTATTCTTTTCAAAACTCTTCTGATTGTATTTTGTGAAATATGTATGATCATTTAGCATAGTGGTTATAGAGATAAATCTTTTTTCTGTTTTCAAAACTACCATGAAACATTTTTTTCTGATTTAAATTGATTGCAATATTTATAAAAATGCCTTTTCCTAGGAGCTCAAAAATAATTTTAAACATTTATCAAGTTTTATTTAGTACTCTTAAGCACCAGGAGGCAGTATTGTATAGAAGAGCACATGTTTGGGGGTTTAACTGGATGTCAGTTCAAAGCGTGTAATCCTAGCTACTTAGGAGGAGACTGAGGCAGGAGAATTTTAAGCTTGGACAACTTACTGAGACACTGTCTCAAAATAAAACTTAAAAAGGGCTGAAGATGTAGATCAGTGTAGAGTGCTTGCCTATCATGTGCAAGGCCCTGGGTTCAATCCCCAATACCACCAAAAAAACCAGAGTAGATGTCAGTTCAAATCCTTTGTCTTGCTTCTTGCCAGCTTCTTGACCTTGGATAATTGACATAACTTTTCTGAGCCTCATTTTCCTAATCTGAAGGATAATAATTTTTTTTTATAGCTATTGTGTGATGATGCCTTAGATGAAGTAGGTGTTTACTAAATGGTAATTGGCCAGATAACTTTTTAAAGGCTTAATTTAAAATAGTGTCTCCAACACTTTTTAATTAGAATAGCTACAAGAAATATGCTAATTTTTCAAAGGAGATATAATCTTTGTAGAATTTTTACTTAAATATAGATGTGTATTAGATCCATGTTTTAACTGTACTTAATGTATTTCTTTTAACCTAGATATAAAGTTTGGTAGGTTCTTACAAGGAAGTTCTAGGTAGAGTTCTCGAGAGAAGAGATATTTTGGCTTAATTGGGGTAGTTTCAGAAATGATCTCTTTTGACTTAAAGTTCTGAAATTGGTTTTCACTACCATTTTTCTTTTAACCAGACTTTCATGAGGGAAACAGACTGCATACTAGATGCAGTTCCTACAACATTCATGGGGGAAAAGTTTGTTACTTATTGCTTAGTTGATTCTAGAACTTCTGTGCAATGCCTTATACATACCAAGAGTCTGTATCTTAGAGAATTCTCAAACTATTGAAATAAAAACATTTGGTATGTCCATAAAATATTAAAGAAAAGGGTTGTTTGGGAATTTCTAAGAATTATTCAGTTGAATTTGTGTGAATGTGATTTTTTTTTAAAAACATAAAATAGTTATTTCTGCCTGTTGTTCATCAGAATATAAAATTCTGAGGATAGATATGATGTCTTATTTTTCTAATTATCTATAATACCTAACAGTGATAAACTGAATTGGACTTTTTGTTCAAAAAAAGAGAAGATAGTCTCCTGGGATTTGAAAACAGAAGGAGCTCAGTTTGGAGCTTAGTTTCTCTGCTTTTATGAATTGTGCTGAAAGAATTGATAATTTTATACTATGCAATGATAAACATAAATGGGGTTTAATAGAATTCTGAATCACTAATTTGTCATTCAAATTTTAAGATAGAAATGCTATTAAAGTACCCTTTTTACTTGTTTAATTTTACTTAAGAGAAATTTACTTACATACTTTTATTATTAAGAATATGTTAAATTATGTGAAAACGTTAGAATGTAGGTAAAAAGTTTTGATGAATATATTTTCCTTTATTTGGCTTATAATTTTAAGATAATTTTGTTTTATTAAGAAATCTCCTCAGACTGAAAGTTGCACTGATAGTGGAGCAGAAAATGAAGGTAGTTGTCATAGTGATCAGATGAGCAATGATTTCTCCAATGATGATGGTGTTGATGAAGGAATCTGCCTTGAGAACAATAGTGGAACTGAAAAGATTTCAAAACCTGGACTTGAAAAGGTACCTTTCATAGTTTGTGGGTTTTGCTTTTGGTTCTGGGGATTGAACCAGGGCCTTATGCCTGCTGGTCAGGTGCTCTAATATGGAGCTACACTTCAGCCCCTTGTTTTTTATTTAAAAGAGAAGATAATCTCTGAGTTTCTTTATAATTGTGTAGCTGTTTTGAATCACACTCTTTGAAAGTTTCATTTTTAAAAATTAAGACTTATTAAAGTTGTTAGTTTTCTGTGTACATGTGCATGTGTATAAGATCATAATTAAACTTAGAAAAAAACCTACTTATTGGGGGGAACATTAATTTTTGGGAGACTGGTCTATAAACTATCTTCCTCACCCCTCCACCCTCCACTCTTCCCCCCAAAAGAAAGGATGCTTAGCAACCAAGAAACCAAGATCCTAGTACCGGCTCTGCCAAGTACTGCAAGTCAGCAAACCTTATATATCATCTGAGTTTTCTCATATGGCAAAATGAAAGTGTTGGACTTAATCTGTTGATTTGAAAAATCTTAGCCATAGGAATACTTCTGAAAAAGTTAATAGCAGAATTGATCTTTTAGAGGTAGCAGAAATTCAAGGCTCTCAATCTTTTTTACTCTCCCATAATAGTCCTTAGACACTTTTGGAAAATGATATAGTTCCATGGATTATAATTTGAAAACCACAGATCTGGATAATCTCTGGGATAGGATTTTCTTTGTTCTATGTGAATGATTTTAAGGTTTTATCAAACCATTTCTTTCACATTCATGTATTCTGCTTTATTGAGGGAAGGATTACAGGTAGAAATGTCCTGTTCATGGTGTGAATAATAAATCACTTGAAGTCTCAAATCTTAGAGTCATATTAAATATAGAGATTTGGGGTCAGTATTTAAGAATGGGGTTTTACTAGAATAAATCTGTTACTAGATCAAGGCCATCATTCTCATCACTGTCACCAATACTCTTTGCCTTTTTTGTTTGGTTTCAGTTTTTATTTACTTATTTTTAAATTTTTTCCAGTAATGGAGATGGAACCCAGGTCCTTACACATGCTAGGCTAGCACTTTACCACTGAGCTACATCCTTAGCCCATTTTATGTATTTGTTTTGAGACAGAATCTTGTCAAATTGCCCAGATTGGCCTTGAACTTGAGATCCTCCTCCCTCAGCCTCCCAAGTAGCTGAGATTGCAGGCATGCTGCATTGTGCCTGGCTTAGTATTTTTTATTCTAAATTTATATGTAACAGTATATATAACAGCAGAATGCATTACAATTCTTATTACATATATAGAACTCAGTTTTTCGTATCTCTGGTTGTATACATAGTATACTCACACCAATTCGCGTCTTCGTACATGTACTTTGGATAAGTAGGCCCTAATCTCCATCATGTGGGATTAGGTCCCAAATTCCTTAATAAGACTCTTGTGGCACAAGAATTAAAATCAAGAATCAATAAATGGGATGGACTCAAACTGAAAAACTTCTTCTCAGCAAAAGAAACAATCTGTGAGGTGAATAGAGAACGTACATCTTGGGAGCAAATCTTTACCCCTCACACATCAGATAGATCACGAATCACTAGGGTATATAAAGAACTCAAAAAGCTAGATACCAAAAAAACAAATAATGCAATCAATAAATGGGCCAAGGACCTGAAGAGAGACTTCTCAGAAGTTGATGTACAATCAATCAACAAACACATGAAAAAATGTTCATCATCATTAGCAATTAGAGAAATGCACTCCAGTCAGAATGTATTATGCATACAGACAACAATAAGTATTGGTGAGGTGTGGGGAAAAAGGTACACTCATATACTGCTGGTGGGACTGCAAATTTGTGCAGCCAATATGGAAAGCAGTATGGAGATTTCTTGGAAAATTGGGAATGGAACCATCATTTGACCCAGCTGTCCCTCTCCTCAGTCTATACCCAAAGGACTTAAAAACAGCATACTACAGGGACACAGCCACATCAATGTTTATAGCAGCACAATTCATAATAGCTAAATGTGGAACCAACCTAGATGCCCTTCAATAGATGGATTTAAAAAAAAAATGTGGCATATGTACAATGGAATATTACTCAACAATAAAAGAGACTAAAACCAATGCTGAATGTTTTCTTTGATTTAAGGAGGCTGATTCATGGTGGGATAGGGAGAGGGAGCATGGGAGGAATAGGTGAACTCTAGATAGGGCAGAGAGGTGGGAGGGGAAGGGAGAGGGCATGGGGTAATTAATGATGGTTGAATGTGATGATCATTATTATCTTTGCCTTTTTAAATTACCTCATTCACCACAGATAGATGAATAGGAATTGTTGTATAATGGATAAGTGGATACATGACATAATGAACCTTGCATTGTTGTAAGAGTTGGTAAACTATGATTTAAGAGCCCAATCTAGCCATCGGCCTGTTTTTCTGAATACTCATATCATCTGCAACTTAAGGCAGTTTAATTTCTTTCTTTCCAATACGTATGCCTTTTTCTTGTCTTATTGTACTCAGTAAGCCTTCTAATATAGCATTAACTAGGGGTGTTGAGAGACCCCATCCCCCCATCCTTGCCTTCTCCATACTTTAGGGAGAAAGCTTTCTGTCTCATACCATTAAGTATGATATTGGCTCTACATTTTTTTTGTGGGTATTCGTTGTCATATTAAGGAGGTTTGCCATTTATTCCTAGTTTGTTTAGTGGTTTTTTAATTTGTTTTGTCATGAATGGGGATTAGATATGTTGATCTTGAATTCCATTGGTTAATTTTCTAATATTGAATTAGTTTTATTTAACTGGAACAAATCCTATTTTGTTGTGATATGTAATTCTTTTTAGACATTGTTGAATTTAATTTGCTAGTATGTTATAGATTTTGTATCTGTGTTCATGAGAGGCATAGGTATGTAGCTTTCCAGTCTTGTAAAATGTTTATCTTGTTTAAGTAATGTTGGGCTCATAGAAAGAATTATGAAGTGTTCCCTCATTTTGGAAGTGATTTTAGAGAATTGGTATATTTCTTCTTCAGATGTTTGGTAGACTTACCAAACATTACCAGTGAAGTAATCTAATCGCCTTACTAGTTACACATCCATATGTTTTGATATATTTTGGTTTTATTTTCATTTTTATTGAGATATTTTCTCATGTGACTCTTTGATTCTTTGTTTTTAAATGTCCTCATGTTTGTGAGATTTTTTTACTTTTCCTTTGAAACTGATTTCTATCCAGTTTCCTTCACTTTTGAAGAATTATTTCTCTGAATATATTATTCTAGGCTGCTGGTAATATTTTTCTTCAACACTTGAAATATTTCACTATCCTCTTCTTGCTTGCATGCTTTATAATGAAAAGTATGCTGTAATTCTTATCTTGGTTCTTCTTGAGGTAAGGTGCTACTTCCCTTTTGGCTCCCTTGAAGACTTTTTTCCCTTTGTTTTTGGTTTTATGCAGTTTGAACATGATAAGCCTAAATATGAAAAATCTTTTGTGGGTTTGTTTTGTGAGGAGCGGTAGTGATTTATCCTGCTTGGTGTTTTCTGAACTTTCATTTCTGTCACTTGGTGCTCCCTGTTTTTTGTGAGTATAGTTTTATTGGAACAAGCCATTTCCATTGTTTACATATTGTCTATGTCTTGTAGAGTGCCCTAACAAAAACTGAATAGTTGTGGCAAACATTGTATGACCCACAAAGCTTAAAATGTTCACTATTGGACCTCAACATGAGAAGTTCACATAATCCCAGGCTTTAATTCTGACATTGACAGTAACAAGCTATATCACTTCGGGCAAATCATTTAGTCTCTGTGCCTCTCTGTTGTTCTACCCAAATCTAGAAATTTTAAATTTGTTTGCCAGTACTGTGTTTGAAGTTTTATACCCTTTTTATTTTATTTAAGAGAATCTATCATTTTGTTAATAACATTAAAATAGAATAATAGATATGTTTTTAAGTAATTTTATTTACAAATTATCATTCTACATTTTGATAAAATCACTCTTAGTCCCCTTTCTATTTTTTTTAACATATATTGTTTTTAGTTGTAGATGGACACATAGTATCTCATTTATTTTTATTTGTCTCTGAGGATCAAACCCAGTGCCTCACACATGCGAGGGAAGTACTTTTCCACTGATCTACAGCCCCAACCCCCCTTTCTACCTCTTAGCAATCAAGTTTGACTTGGAACTAAAAGTGCTGCTTTTGAGAACCCTTACTCTTTCATATAGACCATATTATCTTTTGTTTATGTTTGTATATTTATATTTGGTTTATGATAAATATCTTTTATTTATATATGTATGTTTATGTAATTCTGATTTGGAAGGCGATTCAGTGTACCTTTGTTATTTAGAATTTTCCAAGGAAATAATTATATTTTGACTTTGCTAATTATAATGAAATTTTTAAAATGTATAGATGCAGGTTTTAAAGGTGTCTACATATAATAAAATATTATTCATATAATTCAATCGCATCCAGTATTTGTCTCATCTCACGTTCTTTTAAGGGAATTTTAATCTGTTTATTCACACTTTCTAAAGGTAATTTTTAAAAGATCTGATGCATGAAAAACCTATGATGATAAATTATGGATAGTTTTGCATTTCATAAGTTGTTTAGTGCTTTAAAAACAAATTCTGGATTGCAAGTAAATTCTGAAGCCTCTGTCACTATGGTAAATCTTAGTTTTAGAAATAAAATTTAACTACACAAGGAAGTTTTCGGGCATAATTAAAATTTGTTCTAGAAACTTCAGTATTAATTACAGTCAGTTTAAAGTTATTTAAGATAAACTGAGTGTTATGAGACTTCTCAGAGGAAAAAAATGCCTTTTCTTAAAGAATTAGGGCTGGGGCTTTAATAGCTTAGGGGTAGAGTGCCTGCCTCACATGTGAGGACCTGGGTTCAATCCCCAGTACTGCAAAAAAGAAAAAAGAAGGGGCTGGGGTTGTGGCTCAGCAGTAGAGCGCTTGCCTAGCACATGTGAGGCCCTGGGTTCTATCCTCAGCACCCCATAAAAATAAATAAATAAAACAAATGTAATGTGTCCAACTACAACTAAAAAAATAAATATAAAAAAAAGAAAAAAGAAGAAGGGGGGAGGTGGATAAGAGAAGCTCTAGTTCTTGTAGAAAAGTTAATAACCCACAATGAGGGAGAGGTGGAGAATAGAAGTTGAATGAAGGGAAGGGACTATGGGAATGGGGAAGATAGTAAAACCAGACATAACTTTCCTATGTTCATATATGAATGCACAACCAGTAAAACTCCATATCATGTACAACCAACCACAAGAATGGGATCCTTATTAGAATAAGTTGGAGTCCATGTATGTAGAATGTCAAAATACACTCTTATCATGTATATCTAAAAAGAACTTTTAAAAAAATTTCGCTTGGTAGCAGCTGGGGAATCTTCTCATATCAAATTGCCTTTTTAACCTTTTTACCTTTCTTTTATTTCCATCTTCCTCCCTGTCCCTTTTGTAAAAGAATTACTGGTCTGCAAGATCTTTAGTATCTCCAAGTATCTTTGGACCTGTAAAGTGTCTGAGCTGCTGAAAGAAATGATAGCCATAAATATAAGGCAATTCGTTTGTAAATCATCTCTTTTTAAAATAAATCCCTTTATTTCTATTTTCTTTCAAAAATAACTTCAACATTGCTTTAATAGTCTGTCTTTCTGTGAAGAATTGTTAACTGAAGAGGACATTATTAAGAAATAATTTTATTATAGATATGATAGAATTCAGAATTCATTCTTAATATAAGGGAGAGATATCAGATTAACACATCATTCTATCACAGATACTACATAAGCACATTAGAAAATGTTCCAAATTATTATAGCTCTTAGCTCTTTTGTAAAGGAAATAGAATCTTATTTGAATAAAAAAACAGTATTTCATATGAGATTTCTTGATGTTCACTGTGCATGTTAAAAATTGTACTTAGCTGGTGCTTCTAATTTCAGAATGTTCTTTAATTTTTTACCTAAGTTCATATTTATAGATAAATATAGTTCCAAAGGTTATCGTAAAATTAAAATGTGAAGGAATACACCGAGTAAAATTTGTGAGATATAAAATTTTTTTGGTGACTTGTCATTTTAATTTTATCTTAGGGAAGAGTTAACCTATGATAGGTAAGACAATATCAATATCTCTATATGTTAGTAGAGATAAGGAAATAGTCAAATAAGAGTTTTGTGATTTTCCTCTCTGAATTACTTTTGGTTTTTTTCCTCCCTCAGAATTCCTTGATCTATGAGCTTTTCTCTGTTATGGTTCATTCGGGGAGTGCTGCTGGTGGTCATTATTATGCTTGTATAAAGTCGTTCAGTGATGAGCAGTGGTACAGCTTCAATGATCAACATGTTAGCCGGGTAAGGCGTCCTTTCAGATTAGTGCTCTGAAAGGCAGGAGTAGGGGTATTTCTAACCAACAATAGGGTTTATTTAAAATGGAAATATCTGTATAATGATGTTATCTCAAGACCCGCTTCAAATAAGTTTTTCATTTTCAGTAAATTTCTTGCTTTTGCTTATTGTAGTTCTTTGTTTTGTTTGACCTTGTGAATGTTTCCCAAGATAGACTACTAATTTTTCTTTTGCCCTGAGCCCTCTCATGTGTTCCTTGTGCTTCATATGTCTTTAGGAACACTAGAACTGACTGGCTGGTAAGCAGCCACTAATTATCATTAAGTTTTTTAATTGATATCTAGTTCCTTTTTAGTTGATATCTAGTTCCTCTTGAGGATCTGTGTAGCATCTAAATCTCTAATTAATAGATTGGATTATATATTGGCCTTAATTTAATGGTGCCATAGATCTTACAAAACAAAATAATATAACAACTTTTTAGATAACACAAGAAGACATTAAGAAAACACATGGTGGATCTTCAGGAAGCAGAGGATATTATTCCAGTGCTTTTGCAAGGTAATTTTTAGTGTTCATAAGTTTAAATTAACTCTAACTTCTCCCAAGTATTTATTCTCAAATATTAACCCCTGGGTTGTAAACCACAGCCCATGGGCCAAATTCAGCCCTTCTCCAGATTTTAGAAATAAAGTTTTATTGGAATACTGACATAGTCTTTTGTTTATATAGGTTGTGTTGTTGCTTTCACACTACAAGAACATATTTCGAGTAGTTGTAACACAGACCATCTGGCCTACAAAGCCTAAGGATTTTTCTTTCTGGTTCCTTCCAGAAAAAAATTTTGCTGACTGACAGTTCTCATTTCAGTACATGGCTTTGTTGAACACTTTACTATGTTACCAAGAAGAGATAAAGAATTTTTTCATAAATATGTCATTAAAAAAATGTAGACTTTCCTCTTTCTGGAATACTTTAAATTGTAATGTATCTGAATAGTGGTATGGCTAAATTGTAATGTATCTGAATAGTGGTATGGCTTTGTGATTGTTTGAAATTTAAAAACCCACAATTTTAAATGAATATTTGTTACTTTTTGTCCCTATTAATCTTTTTTATGTTTCTACTAGCTCCACAAATGCATATATGCTGATATATAGACTGAAGGATCCAACAAGAAATGCAAGTATGTTAACTTACAGTTATTTGACTTGATTTTAATTATAGTATAAACTCATTTCTTTTACAAGTTTTGTAAACCCACATAACCATTTTTAAATGATAGAAAAATAGGTTTTTTTAAATACTTGAAAGAATTATAAAGACTTTTTTAAAGTAAGTGGTAAAAACACTTGGAAAAAAATTTAAATTTTTTAAGTATATTAAGAACAAGGTAACACTTATTTTTCCTTAAATAAATTGGATATTTATTTTTGCAGTAAGTTTTCAATTGTGTGCACTTTGGTACAGTGATAATAATTCCAGTCCTGTGTAGGTCCTCATAACTCAACCAGCTGCATGTCCTAGAGCAAGTTATTTAACCATTCTAAAATCTTTCTTTACACATCTGTCAAATGCATTAATAAAAGCATTTTGTGTGGTTGTTATAAAAATGAAATAACATTTTAAGAATTTAGCTTCATATCTTACATGTGATAAAAACTCAAATTTAGCCATTATTTTCTTCAATTTCAAGCTTTTGGGGTTTGTTAGTATCTAAAAAATGGAATCCCTAGATGACCTGAAACACTCTATAGACATTTTTAGGAACTAGAGTGAAGTATCTCTGCTTATTTTATTAAAAAGCAAGTAAGTTTGTATGACTCTAATATGCATCCTTTATTACATTTATTTTATTAGTTACTCATGACAATACAATGATCTTGACATATCATACATTTGAATCAAATGGGGTATAATTTCTCATTTAATACATTTTAATGTTAGTAAGAATCCCAGAAATAATTCTAAATGTAAAGTATATTTTTGTTTGTTTGGTTTTTGTTTTTTTACTTATTGGTAATAATTGCTTTTAAAATTACAGTTCTTGTTTTTTCTTGCTAATTTTGACTGATTCATGCAGTATTGTTAACAGGGTTGTGTATGAATATGTAGATACATACAGAGATGAAGTTTTTGCCCATATTCATTTTATAATTAAAAACAATCACTGCCTTTGATTTCAACATACTTTTTTAGAAACTGTCATACTATTAGTGAATCTTTAGCATTACAGTGTTTTTGTTCACATTTTTTGTGAGCCCTCATCAAATTGTGGAGTCAGCTGATAGAAGGCTTAGAACTTAATAATCTTTCTACCAAAAGTATATCTAGGATCTGTCATACAGTAACTATTAAACAATTTAATGTAGACTTTACTATTTAGTGAGTTTTAAGAACACAAGTAATCATTCTTATTATATCATAAAGAAACTGTACATCAAAGACTAACTTGTTCCAGTTAGTCTGGAGGCTGACCCAGTTTTGTAATTTATGTATAGATCTAGCCTTTACTCCCTAAGCTCTAGTTTTGTTATAAAGCACCAGAGGGCGCTATATGATATATAGTGAATAATTTTAAATTTATAACTCATTTCTAAAACCATTGCATTTTTACCTTTTATGGAGACATGAACCTTTGGTATCAACTGTTCTCCTTATTTAATGATACTTGTATTATTACTTTGAGTTACATGTGAAGTTAAAATTATTATAAAAGCTTCCTTAAATAATTTGTATGTAGGTCTTTGTAATAATTTTTGTGTATTCTGTTTTCTTTTAACTGGTTATTTTTCAAATGACAGTATGCAGAGAGAAATGTAATAGATAAAGTTATCAGTTTTGTCACTCAGCCTTATTTGGTTAGAAAGCAACTAAAAGATTACTTCAAGGACAAAGGAAAGATAATACTGGTTAGAAAGCAACTAAAAGATTACTTCAAGGACAAAGGAAAGATAATACTAGTGCAGAATAATAACAAATAGGTAGTATTTGTAGTAGTAGCAACTACAATAGCAGTGGCATTTATCAAATTTTATTTTCTCCCAGACAATAATTGTGTGGGGTAGATGCTATTCAGGTATAAAGAAACCTGAGTCTGAAGACATAAACTTGCCCAAGGTTACACAATTCGATGGTGATGGCACAATTTGAAATTAGAAATGGTTTTGTTTTTGAATTTTAGAGGGGTCTTTTCACTCTAAAATCTTAGTTTACATGCTCAAGGTCTCCTGGAGTCAGAAGCCAATTTCAATGAATATGTGGCTTTTTAAAATATGAGCCTGACTAGCAATACCTCTTCATCTTTGCCTAGAATAAGCTTGTGTTCCAAGTTGAGGAAAGAATGTAACTGAAATACATTTCCATGAGTACAGAGTAATAGGATATGACAGGGAGCATAGTAGAAAAGCATGAACAAAAGAATCCCAATTTCATTGACACTGTCTTATTCTGTTTTTATTATGGATAGAATTTCTAGAAGTGGATGAATACCCAGAACACATTAAAAACTTGGTGCAGAGAGAGAGAGAATTGGAAGAGCAAGAAAAGAGACAACGGGAAATTGAGCGTAATACATGCAAGGTTAGATTCCATCAATTTTACTTTTAATTGAAAAGTGTTATTTAAATTTGCTTAACAGTTCTCATAACTTACTCATTTGGTTGAATCTACAGACACATACAATCTTGATCATTAAATAGTATACCAACTCTACTATAAAACTAAAATTGATTTGATATATAAAAACTCAGTTACGTAATGACAGTGCTTGGTGCTGGTGAAGCTGCAGTGAGGTGGGCATTCTCATATGCTGCTAAAAAATTGTTAAAATTTTTATGAATAGTATTTATCAAGAACCTTAAGCAAATTCATATTCTTTTATATAATTTTTCTTATAGAAATGTTACCTAATAAAATGATGATACTTCATGAATAGAAGCATATTCATCTCAGTATTTTCCAAAATTGGAAACGACCCATACATTTATCATAGAGGATATTTTATCACTGAAAACAACCTGAATATTTATCATTAGAGGAATGATTATTACTTAGAATTGGAATGATTATGATACATACTTACAAAGAAGTATACAATATTTAATATTAACATTTTTAATTATTTTAAGATATAGTCTCAGCCGAGCACAGTTCTCACATCTGTAATCCCAGGGACTTGGGAGGCTGAGGCAGGAGGATCATAAGTTCAAGGCCAGCCTCAGCAATTTAGCAAGGCTCTAAGGAACATAGCAAGACCCTGTCTCAAATAAAAAATAAAAAAGGCTGGGGATGTGGCTCCATGGTTAAGCACCCCCTCGGTTGAATCCCCAATACCAAAAAAAGAAAGGGAGAGAGTTACTGTCAATTAGTGAGAAGTATGGATATAAAGAGAATGAGCCAGATTAGATTTTTTTTTTTTAATGACAGTATTTTGACATTAGGAAAAATGCTATCTATAAAACAATTAAGCTTTGACTCTTGATCCTAAGTTAATGATATTTTACATTTTCTAGATAAAATTATTCTGTTCACATCCTATAAAACAAGTAATGATGGAAAATAAATTGGAGGTTCATAAGGATAAGACATTAAAGGAAGCAGTAGAAATGGCTTATAAGGTATGTTTAGTTGCATTTATTTATCTTTGTATTTTTCACTTTAAATAATTGTTATTTACTATTCATCACATTTAATTATTGATAAACTTATATAACATTATTATAATTTCCTAAATTTTTATTATAGTTAATAGTAATGTAAGCTCTTGCAATAAATTTATAGCCCATTAATTCAGTTCTCTTTTATTCTTCTTTGGGAAATATACTCAGTTGATTTTGAGAACTTCCTTATTCTGAAAGCCAGTTAATTATAATTAAAAACAAAATATTTATTTGTTCTTTCCAGTCATTTAGCAGCTATTTATTAAGTAGCTACTATATGAAGCATTAGAGATATCAGAAAAAGATGTTTACTACCCACATAGGGTTTATAACACATTAGAAAAAAATAGTATTTAAACATCCCAATTTGCATTGATTCTTTATAAGCTAAATCAATAATATTTTGAAATAACTTATTCTGAGATCTTAACCAGGATAGAGATATTTGGGGAACATTATTCTAAGTGGAGAAGGCAGCATGCATAAAGCTCTGAGGTAAAGGAAGTGCTTGGCATGTTCAAGAAACAAAAAGAAGGAGTACTGTGTTTACGTTATCTTGAATTAGAGCACAGAATAACAAAATAAATTATGATACCTTATAGGAATGATATTACATTTTGTTCTAAGAATTATGAAAAGTTACTTGTGGGGTTGGAAAGGTAAATAGAGAAGCACTCTTACCGGATTATTCAAAATATCATTTGTGGTTCTTGACAAATGAAAAATTTCCCTTTTCCATAAAAAACCTAATAGAAACTTAACTAAAGTTAGGCATTCATTACCTAGAGAAAAATTCTATACTTTATCATTTTGTATATTTTATATGTATGATTAATTAGATAACTAAAAACAGCTCACAAGATAGCTGATACTTTTCTCAAAGTGTGAGCCAGTGCATAACCTGTATCAGAATCACAATAAAAATAATGTTCTTATTTAAAAATGCTAATTTTTACAAATGAATCAGAATTTCTGTGTTCAACTTGGGAATAATGCATTTTAGACAGGATCCCAGGGGATTCTTAGGTATATTAAAATTTGAGAACTGTTTGTATTATATACCTGCTCTTATAAAGCATTTACCAATGTCGAAATTTTTACATTTTGTTGTGTGGCTATTTTAATTAATATCACTGTTATTCTCTAGTCTGTAAGCACATGAAAAGCGAATATTATTCTGGTTTTGCTCATTATTTCATTTCTAATACTTTCCTGGTATATATTAGAGTCCAAATTGGGTGGGTATGTAAATGAGTAAGTGAAGGAACAAACAGTAAGATGGATGGATGGCTCTGGATTTACCTCATTGTAGCAAAATCCTTTAAACCTAGTGTTGGACTTAAGCATCATCTCTGTAAAACAGGGGTAAAACCAAATTAGACTAAAGTGGAAAAAATAACTTAACAAAATACAATTTTACACAGTAAGTTCAATTAGTGTTATAGCAGTAAGGATAGTTGATAGTTCATCCATTTTTTAATTAGGAGGAAAAAAATATTTATCTCGAAAGTAGGAAGTAAAAGTTCACAAAGAGTCAAACAGAAAAGAGAGATCAATCTTATATACCCAAAATAGAGCTGCTTCTCTGGGGGTGGGAGGTAGTGAAATAGAGATCAAGAGGTACACACTAAGGCCTTTAGATCTTCCTTTACAGTCGTAAACACAACCCCTTCATGGACATTGAATACTTCTTAGCAGTCCTACTATGTTTCTCCAGGAGGCTCGTTTCCCATTCATGAGATGTTGCCTCCAGGGTACATTATCTACTAGTGACATGAGCTAGAGGAACATCTATAAATGAATTTCTCAAACTATGCTTTGTAGGTATTCTGGAGACTGATAGTAAAGGTTATGTCCGCAGAGGAATAGATAACACTTAGAAGAAATAGAAACCATAATCTTTATGATGGCTATAAGAGCTATGGCATTCTCCTGTCTAGTAGGATATTACTAGATAGTCAAGTTATCAATTCTGTTATATATTGGATCAAAAAACCAAAGATGCGTGTTCTACTTGGTTGTTGTTCTCCCATGTGTTTCTAGCTTAGTAATTACAGTAGATTGTAATATATTGATTTTGAGTCCATCTAAAGTTTAGAATGTTAATTTTTTCATATAAAAAAGTCTTTATTGTGGACATGTAGAATGTAGCATTTGAATCATCTTTTTAAAAACCCTCTATTCAGGGGTTGGGGATTATTTAGCTCAGTGGCAGAGTGCTTGCCTAGCTGGCTCAAGGCAGAGTTTGGTCCTTGACTGTTGGGGGGAAGATATAACTCTCTCCCGATGGGGAGAATCACAGACTCTGGGACAGGAGTCCTCCATGTTTCTTATTTGCTAGCGAAGCAATAAAACTTCTTTTTCCTTTTTCTTAAAATAAATAAATAAAAGTCTTTAAAATATATTAGTGCATAGTATATGATTTGAAACATGGTCATTTAAAAATCACATTTAAGTTGTCTCCATAGCTTTGATGTCTTTGATTCAAATCATAACTACATAGATTTTGTTAAGACTATTGACTAATTAATAGGATTATCACACACAGGACTAAACACTGTTATTTTTTTTTTTCTCTTGCTTGGGTTGTTTTCTTCTAGATGATGGATTTAGAAGAGGTAATACCCTTGGATTGCTGTCGCCTTGTTAAATATGATGAGTTTCATGATTATCTAGAACGATCATATGAAGGAGAAGAAGATACACCAATGGGACTTCTTCTAGGTGGAGTCAAGTCAACGTATATGTTTGACCTACTTCTGGAGACAAGAAAGCCTGATCAAGTTTTCCAGTCTTATAAACCTGGAGGTAAGCAATCTTATGCTATTTTTAGTTGTACTGGATTTAAAATTTTCACAAGAAAATGTTCTGTTTGTAGAAATAGATATAATTTAAACCTTTAAATATATTCTTAACATTTAGAATAATTGAAGTAGTTAGCAATAAGCTTGGAAATGAATAACATCAGCAAGAAGTCTGCAATGGGATTTTTCTTCTTTACTTTGTAGTACTGAATCATTTGGTACTGAATAATCCTATATGCCATAAATCCCTGAAATTAGCAGCTAATCTCTTAGGAGGATCTCACTCTTCCTCTTACCTCAGTCTCTTTTCCTTGCTTCAAAAAAACTTATTGCCAGAACGTCTCTGTTTTTAGTGTCTTTTTGGAAGAGGTGGATTCCTAACCCTATCACTGACCACATTTCCAATCTCTTTCTACAGACCCCAGGGGGCTTTTTGCTCTTTTCATGAATTCTGTCATATTTCCTTAGCACATTTGCCCTTTTCTTTGAGAATGACTTGGAAAGCAAAGTATAATGCCCCTACTCTCTCCAGAGTAGTCCCTAAAGAGTTACATGGTCTTCCTCATTTCCAGAGTTTTCTTACTAGAAAACTGTATGTAAAGCATAATAAATAGGAGGAAAAATCCAAGCATAATTTTACAAAATTCTTACTGTTGTATCTTGACTCTAACTCCTGTCCATTAGTGGGAAGTCAAAATTCAGATTTGTGTTCTCTAATTTTTATCCCTGAAAGTTGAACTTAGAAATCTTATTGTGCCCTTTCATATTCTGTTCCTCTGTGGATCCCGCAGGCCTTCCTATTTTATGAAGGCTCTTCTTTCCAAAGTACATTAAATGTAATATTCTTCCATGGAACACATATTTCTCTCATGGGGGGAAATTTTATTTTTGAAAACTTGGTGCCTTTTGCAGTTGAACTCTGCTCTTTCTGTAGCATTCCCCTGAAGAACTTTCTTAACTAGATAGAAAAAAGGATACAATTAAAGGATACCATGAGTCAGCAATAAAATCAAAAAAGAACTGAGAATGTAACTACGAATTATAAATGGATAAAGTAATTTCTACTATTCACTAATTATCATGAAGTCTATTTTATCATTTAGATTTAGCAACATGGGGGGAAAATCTGAGCAATGACATGAGGTTAAAACAAAGTGACTATTAAATATAGTACTTGAAAATCATTTGTTTTCCAATGAAGTAAAAGTTTGGTTATAAACATGATCTCCTAAAAACATAAGAGAAAGAATGATTAAAGTGTAATGTGAAGGATTTAAGTAAAACAAAACAGATAAATCAGACTAGTTTTTTTTTGTGTGCAGAATTTTCCATGTGTTAGAGGAAAAGTGAGGAGAGGAAAGGAGAACTTAGATTATGAGCAAAGTCATAAATGGTTTAATGAAAGCTGTTTAAAAGCCACTGGGATTCTATATATATATCCCCTATAGTATTTGTTTTGCAGTCTCTAGATATTTATATTCATATTTATTTATATATATTATATTTATATATTTACATATATAATATATTTATATTTATTTAGTGCTATGGTTTTTGTTCTGTATTTGGAGCTTTAGAAGTTGATTTCAATTAATAATCCTCACTTTTCCCTCCCATTCTCTCCCCTTCCCATTTTTAAAAATTTATTCTAATTAGTTATACATGACAGTAGAATGCATTTTGATACATTGTACATAAATGGAGCACAATTTCTCCTTCTCTGGCTGTACATGGTACAGTCACACCTGGAGTATAATTATACATGTATATAGGGAATAACGTCCATCTCTTTCCACCATCCTTCCCATCACCATACCTCCTACCCTTCCCTTACTCCCCTCTGTATAATCCAGAGTTCCTTCATTCTTCTGCCTGCCCCCCACGCCCCATTATGGATCAGTGTCCGCTTATCAGAGAAAACATTTGGCCTTTGGGTTTTGGAGTTTGGCTTATTTCTCTTAGCATGATAAATATTCTCTTAGTATAATATTCTCCAGCTCCATCCATTTATCTGTAAATGCCATAATTTCATTCTTATGTAAGGCTGAATAATATTCCATTGTGTATATGCACCACATTTTCTTTATCCATTCATCTGCTGAAGGGCATCTAGTTTGGTTTCATAGTTTAGCTATTGTAAATTGAGCTGCTATAAACATTGATGTGGCTGTGTCATTGTAGGATGCTAATTTTAAGTCTTTTGGGTGTAAACCGAGGAGTGGGGATAGCTGAGTCAAATGGTGGTTCATTCCAAGTTTTCTGAGGAATCTCCATACTGCTTTCCATATTGGTTGCACCAATTTGCATTCCCATCCACGGTGATTTTTAATAATGTGCTTAATTAATTTGTCAATAGTTACGTTTTAGAAGGAAATAAAGCCATACATTTTTACAAATCACATTTTACTTTTGTAGGTAATGTATAGTGCAGAGGGCAAAACTAATACTTCGTAGTGAAGACTGCTATTTTTAAAGAAATCTAAGAGAACTTTTTAACTAGCCTCATTTCCTTGTGTCTCTTTGCTTGTATTGTGATAAATTGTGAAGAAGTTTTAAACATGTGTTATGTGTATAAAGTACATTTATATATTGGTAATTAGAAAATACTCTCTTATTAGAAACACTGTTTTAACACTGTTAGCAGCACTCATCTATTAGAAACACATTAAGAATGCAGTGCTCATATGAAATAGATTTAAAAAATAACCTCCAATTATGTTTTTGTGTTTTCAAATGTGACAGAAGTGATGGTGAAAGTTCATGTTGTTGATCTAAAGGCAGAAACTGTAGCTGCTCCCATAACTGTTCGAGCTTACTTAAATCAGACGGTTACAGAGTTCAAACAACTGATTTCAAAGGTAAGTTTTAAAATTGGTCAGTGAATATCTTTGAGGGCCTGCTAGAGGCACTGTGTGATAGTTATAAGTAAAATGTAGGCTCTACCTTAAGAGGCAGTTTTTATAGTTAGGGCACAACTCTAGTAGGAAAGGACATTTCAGATAGAAGGAACAGATTGAACGAAGTATGGAGGCAAGAAATCATGAAGCAAATACACATAACCATGACTTGTGAGCCTTGGGTGGGTCATTGTGAAGCGGGCCTGGAGATGTAAATTTAGTTATTTAATGGGAGGCTTTAAACAGGAATAGTGAAAATTTGGGCTCTCTTTTGGTGCAGGCAATAGAGAGTAGATTTTTAAATTTGTTTTCTTTTTTAAGTACAGCAGTAGTATGAACAGATCTGTGCTATAGATTGAAAAGTCTACTGACAGTAGACTGGTGATTCAGATGGATTGAAGGAAAGTCAGAAATGGGGATGAGGAAGCTGTTGAAATAATTCAGTTGAAGGCATATGGCTGGAAATGAGAGAAAGTAGAGCTTATGATAGATTGTGAGAGCGATTATATAAATAGACTCTGTAGGACTTTTAATTGGTGAAAGTTGGTATAAAATAGGAGTACAGAGACCCTGAAAAGCTTCAAATTTGGGTGACGGAAAGGTGATATATTAATAGCAATAGAGAAGTGAGGTGAGGAAGCAGACTCCACAGGGAAGGGGATGACTTAAATATTGGTCCCATTATGCAAGTTGGTGATAGAGAACATAGTCTTGTTCCAGATTTTTGAACTGGAAAAATATGATGATGAAAACATTTAAATTTCTTTGGGGAATGGGCTAGTCTACTTCAGACAAATGGTTACTGTCTTTTCAGGCGTTGTGTACACTATAGAACCTTGAACACATGAGCAGGCAAAATTTTACAGGGTTCTCCAACTCGTGTACTGAAAATTGTTCAGTAATTGAAAATTAGGAAATTGAGTCTGGGTTTTAGCCATTTTATCTTTTATCTCATTATCTGGGGGTTTAATACCAGTGTAGCAGGGTTGCCATAAACATTAAAAAATAAGTGCTTTGTATGAAAAAAATTGTAACTATTATTAGAATTGGTGGCAATTATTATGTTAAACACAAAACAATGACTTCTAACACTTTTGCCAAAGTAATAATATTCAGGAGACAAACAATGTTGCAAAATTATATTTTTTATGATTAAATTGCTAATAAATTCATACTGTGTTAATATAATTGCTCTTCATTTAAACAATACAAATGCTAGATGTAAAGAATTTCAGTTTAGTCTGGAATATAAGCATTCACATAGGATACAGACACACACACATAATGTACTGATTCCTTCCCTGATGAAGCTAATAATCTTGTTAAGGAAAAATATGTTTAAGAAATAAATGTAGCACTGTGTGGTCACGCAGCCTGTGATCCTAGCAGCTCCGGAGGCTGAGGCAGGAAGATCGCAAGTTCGAAGTCAGCCTCAGCAATTTAGTGAAGTAACTCAGTGAGACCCTATCTCTAAATAAAATACAAAAAAGGGCTGGAGATGTGGTCAGTGGTTAAGTGCCCCCGGATTCAATCCCCAGTGCCAACAAAAAAAAAAAGAAGAAGAAGAAGAGGAGGAGGAAAAAAAATGTAGTCATAGGACATTGTGCTAGCAAATATCATTTGTTTTTGTTTTTGTTTTCTAATAGTGAGGATTGTATACAGGGGTGTATTACCACTGAGCAACACCCCCAATCCTTTTTAATTTTTACTTTGAGACAGGGACTCACTAAATTGCTGAGACTGGTCTATAACTTGTGATCTTTCTACCTCACCTGCTGGAATTACAGGTGTATGCCACTGTACCCCACATAAATATACTGTTTCAAAGTATAGTGAAGCTGCCTGAGAATTTGATGTTCATAGCTGACACCATTAGTTGTATTGAAAACAAATTGTTTTTAAATAAATTATTTTATTTGCTCATTTTATCTGAAATTGTTAAAATTACTGCAAAAATTAAGGATGTGGAATTTCAGAATAACTTAGTATTAATCCCATTTTCAACAGATTAAAACTGATTTAGTAAAAGCATCAACAATTTATTTACAATATATAGCAGGGTCTATCAAAAAACTAAGATGTTTTAACTGTTGGTTTGACATCAATTCTCAAAGTCAATTACTCACTGCCTTTAGAATCATATCACCTCCTCTACATGCTGTGTGAGAGCATGTAGAGGAGGTGATATGATTTCAGTACTTTTCTTTAGCAAAAAAATCCTACCTTTAAAATAGTTTCAGAGCATACATTTACAAGAGATACTTTGTTTTTCTAATTCATATCTTAATTAATGGATATAACTAGTAATTTTTTCCTTAGATTCTCCAAAAATTTTAAAACCTCTGCCAAAATTATTTTTCTCTTTATTTTCTCTCTGATATTTTAAAGAACTTTCTACTTCAAGCAGAAGTACTTTTGAAAGAGTACTTTTTTATGAAATTACTTTCATTGTAGGCCATCCATTTACCTGCTGAGACCATGAGAATAGTACTGGAACGCTGCTATAATGATTTGCGTCTTCTCAGTGTACCCAGTAAAACCCTGAAAGCTGAAGGTTTTTTTAGAAGTAACAAGGTATGTCCTTTTTTATCTTTATTACTGTTTTCTTTGCTGATAATAAGTGAAATGAAGTTCCATGTTATACACTTGGCCTCCCGAGCTGTCCACCATGTGTCTGGACCTGACCTTTATAATTTGCACTTCCTCCCAATAATTACCTTCCTTAGTAGTCAGGTTCAATCAGGCTTCTTTCTCTCCTTTGAATTGATTCTTTCTGTGTGTGTCTCCTGTTTGTGTGCACCACCACCTGGAGTGTTATTTCTTCTCTCTCTACATTTGTTTTTCAAGCCTCAGATTAGTCCTGCCTCTTTGGTGAAGGCTTAATGAATGAATCTACTTATAATGATTATGTCTTCTCAATTTTGTTCATCCTTGGCTTCTCCCCAAAAGATAGTTCTTTATACTGAAAGCCAAAGGGAAGCCTACTATACAGAATATTATCATTTTGGATTTATCACATTTTCCAGTCTCATTCATCTTAGTGCATCTTAAGTCTTATATCTCATTTAATCATTTTCAGTATTTTTAAAATGTTATTTTCATTCACCTATATCCTAATACTTTTCTGTGTGTCGTTTTTTAAAAATACATTATCTAATAGTTCTGATTTGTATCATTTATTAGTTAATAATAGTGTTATTTTATGCAAAAATAATGCTGTTAATAGTGCCAATTTTGTGTATGTGCATTTCCTTTCTTTAAACTTTTTGTTATGGAAAATTTCAAACATACACAGAAGCAGAGAGACTATAGAGTAATGCCCTTCCATGTCCCCATCACCCACCTTCTACAGTTATCAACTCTTGTTTCATATGTATTTAACTACTCACTTCCTCCAAATTATTTGAAAAATATCCTCTGCATCATCTCGTTTCATCTATTAATAATGTGAACATGTATCTCTCTGGGGTGAGCTCTCTTTTTAAAAAGTAGCTGTTATTTTAAAAAATAAGTATAATTATATACCTAAAAAAATCTAAATGTTTTGAACAATATCTAGACCATATTCCAATTTCTGTGACTATCTTAAAAAACTTTTTTTCAAATAAACGGAAGTATGGGGAAGCAAAGTTCATAATATATTTCTTAAGACATAATGTATTTCTTAAGCTATAGTATTTCTTGTGTTGTTTATGTTTGTTTGCTTCCTTGCGCTTTATTTGTTGTAAAACCAGATCATTTACTTATTAATGTCTTTAAAATTTGGATTTATTTATATTCCTTTATTCATGCTCAACTTTAGCTTCCTAAAAGGCAGCATGTATAATATAAAACTTTTTTATAAATGAGCAGTCCAGTAAAGAAAGTGTATGTGTTTGTGTCTGTCCATATCTGCCCATCTTGGCATAGTTTTATGGCTAATTGCAAAGACTGATGAGCTTAATATTTCTTTTAGTCTCCAAAACAATGCAGTATCCTTTGGAAACACTATCATCACAATTTTATGATTTATTATGCACAGCCTTATATTGATGTTATTCTAATGATGAATAAAAATATCACTAACAAACTACATTGTAACTCTTTAACTTACTATTTAGGTGTTTGTTGAAAGTTCCGAGACTTTGGATTACCAGATGGCCTTTACAGACTCTCATTTATGGAAACTCCTGGATCGACATGCAAATACAATTCGGTTATTTGTTTTGCTACCTGAACAATCCCCAGGATCTTATTCCAAAAGGACAGCATACCAGAAAGCTGGAGGTGATTCTGGTAATGTGGATGAAGATTGTGAAAGAGTCACAGGACCTGTAGGGAGCCTAAAGTCTGTGGAAGCTATTCTGGAAGAAAGCACTGAAAAACTCAAAAGCTTATCGCTGCAACAACAGCAGGATGGAGATAATGGGGACAGCAGCAAAAGTACTGAAACAAGTGACTTTGAAAACATTGAATCACCTCTAAATGAGAGGGACTCTTCAGCATCAGTGGATAATAGAGAACTTGAACAGCACATTCAGACTTCTGACCCAGAAAATTTTCAGTCTGAAGAACGATCAGACTCGGATGTGAATAATGACAGGAGTACGAGTTCAGTGGACAGTGATATTCTTAGCTCCAGTCATAGCAGTGATACTTTGTGCAATGCAGATAATGCTCAGATCCCTTTGGCCAATGGACTTGACTCTCACAGTATCACAAGTAGCAGAAGAACTAAAGCAAATGAAGGGAAAAAAGAGACATGGGATACAGCAGAAGAAGACTCTGGAACTGATAGTGAATATGATGAGAGTGGCAAGAGTAGGGGAGAAATGCAGTACATGTATTTCAAAGCAGACCCCTATGCTGCAGATGAAGGCTCTGGGGAAGGACATAAATGTATGTACTTCAAAAGGAAATGGTTCTTTGAAACAGCATCAACTTTTTCCTCATTACAATTTTTAGTTGAGAACTGGTGACCAGCTGGTTAATCAATACGTTAGTCAATAGTTATGTCAAATTTTGTGAAATTGTTTTTTTAAAAAAAGATAATTCAATATTAGGAAAGAATAATGATAAAAATACCAAGTTTAAAAAAAAAATGAGGAATAGTTAAAAAAATAAATGACCCTCCCCCTCAATTAAAAAAAGCCCAGATAACTTTAGAAAATTTGATATTCAATGCCCAGATTTTTTAATTTATTTATTTAGGTACTGGGGATTGAACCCAGGGGCACTTAACCACTAAATCACATCCCAGCTCTTTTTATTGTTTATTTTGAGACAGGGCCTCATTAAGTTGCTTTTGTTGAGGCTAGCTCTGAATTCAAGATCCTCCTGCCTTAGCCTCCCAAGCTACTGGGGTTTCAGGTGAGCACCACTGCACCTGGCCCCAAGAAAACTTTTTATTTGTGCATTCTCTCTGTTCCCATTGCAATCAAGGACAACTTTTCCTCACCCCTAAAAATCCATAATTAACAGGAAAGTCAGACTTCAGGCAGGGTACAAACTAGAAGCTCTAAATTGTATAAATCTCAAAAAGATGAAAGAGATGTGCCAGTGTGGGGGTGTGAGACAAGCAGTAACAACACAAACATACAAATATGTAACATTCTGTGAGTTTTTTTTAAAAAAAGAACATTTGAAAAGAACTTTAATGAAACCTCATTCTAAAACTAGCCAAAGAATTAGCAACACAATGAAGTTCAAAATATAATTTTTTTCAAATGTAAAAGAGAAATATTTGAAAAACCAAATTAATGAAACAAATATGACCCCTTATATTTTGAGCTTTGAGAATGCTTATTTTCCCTTAAAGCTTCTCTGAAATTAATAAGACTTTGATATCTTTTTTTGACAAATAAGAAAACTGAAGCTCTCAGAGGATGGATAATTTGCTTAAAAGTACATATAGTTAGTGAATAGTGGTACTATTATTAGAATATAAGGCTTCTAATTGAATGCACATGCTTTTACCTTTGGCAGAAAACCCTGCTTTTATATCTATCCATTCTCCCACCCCATTAGTTATTTCCTGAATCCGTTCTAGATACCTGCATAGCTATTGGAAGTAAAGACAATTAAGATGTAGCTTTATGCTGCATCTACCAGGGAAGAGGAGATGTACAACCAAAAAAAAAAAAGTTAGTGCTATGATTATTGAAGTCTCAGAATTCTGTCTTTTAGAAGAAAGTTGTAGAAATTATGAAATCAGTACTAAACGTATATAAATTCGTGCTTTTGGCTATGTATTTCCAAGTAATAATCATAAGACTTCCATACATATATCTTACAGAGAGTCAGGTGTGGGAATGTGGATTAGTCACCCAAAATGGAGATAAAAATCATATTATATAATGCTTTAAGCTTCTATGGAGCTTTTACCTAGGCTGCTCAGCATTATTTCATTTTAGTTCTCTTAACATAAAATTATTATCATTAGTTAGTTTTCACTGGTGAAGTAACTGGCTCAAACAAGTTAAAATATTTTGCTTGAGTCACACCATAACTGCTGTCACTGTTATTTTTCTTACATCATAGTAATGAAAAAATAGCTACTCTGCTTCCTTAGCATAGTGAATCCATCAAAGATCTGGGAAAATTAAAAGTAGCTCCTCTTTAGGAAAAGATTGTTCTTTTAAGTGGTCTGTTTTAGAATGATGTGCAGAAAATTTGGATGATTGTCTTAACCTTAGGAATTCTTTCAGTTGGAAATACTTATTGTTTGAAAAATCTCATTTCTATCATAGGATAGTAAATAAACCTTTTTTTTTTTTTTTTTCTTATACTAGGGATTGAACCCAGAGGCACCTTACCACTGAGCTATATCCTCAGTGATTTTTATCTTTTATTTTGAAGCAGAGTCTTGCTAAATTGCCAAGGCTGGCCTCAAACTTGCAATCCTCCTGCCTCAGTCTCCCATAGTTGCTAGGATTGGTGTGTGCTATTGTGTCCAGTTGATAAACTCTTTTAAAAGGAACATTGCTGGCTATTTTATCCTTTTTGGAAATTCGTACTAGGCTAATTTACTGGTATTCACTGAAATAATAAATATAATGAAGAGAAACCATCTGCTACAGTTTACATAGGCTTTCAGAAACCATACACAAGGTTTATTTAGATCTACTCAGAGTACAGCAAAGTTAGCTAGTCAAAGTCAAGTCTAATATATAAAGAGGACCCAGGAAATCAATCAGGAATATGCCTTTTTGTGTTTAGAAACTCGTTCAGAGAAAGGGGAAGAGAGATAATAAACAGGAGCCAGGTTTTTCAGGAGTAGGTACTAAGAACAGTTCATCACAGTTCCTCAGTGATCTCAAAGTAGGTACCTAGGAACACAAGTGAGCAGCGAGTAAGTGACAAAATGGCCAAGTATAACAGGTAAACAAAGAACCTGATACCTGAAGAGTGACATGTTGTATGCAATATAGGCATTTCACTTAGGAAATAATTGAACTGGTCATTGTCAGTTATGACCCAGGAATTGTTTAGGGAGATTCTATAGATGATTCTGTGGAAATACTTTACTCATGGGATCTAGTTATAGTTTCTAGGACCCTATATATAAACAGGAGGGCCAAGGTAATAAATTGTAGTGCGTTTGTACTGAAATATTTATGTACGGTTTTTCCTCATACAAGAAATACATATTTTTTAAAAAAGAAAAACCCTGAAGATATTTTGAGATTGTGTTATAAAGAGACTGAATTCTCCACAGTCTTTTTTAGAGATAGACAAAAAGTGGTATCATGGTCATCTCTAAAACTGAAATAATTAAGCCAATAAATTAACAATTCTTTGCCAGGACTGTGCTAAGCAATTTATCTGTATTGACCCACCTGAGATATATAAATACTATAATGTCCATAATAGAGTAGATCTACTCAGAGTATAGGAAAGTTAGCTAGTCAAAATCAGACTTATATATAAAGAGGACCCAGGAAATCATTCAGGCCAGGACTTTTAATCTTTTGTTCCTACTCACCATTTTGAATGATTTTCAATAAAAAAAAATTCTATCTTCCTATATATACAATATTACTAGAAGTTAAAAGGGAAACCAAAATGGCAGTGTTATTTTGTACTTGAATAATGCTGTACTTGTCATAACAATAATATGTGAAACTGGTGTTATGATTCTGTGGGAAAACTGAGATTCTGAGAGATTAGATACCCTACCTACAGCCATGTATAGGACTAAAGTGACAAAACAGATCTAGCCATAGATTTGGCACTGGGAATTGAACTGAGGGGTGCTTAATCACCGAGCCACAACCCCAGCCCTTTCTTTTTTTTTTATTTTGAGACAGGTTCTCACTAAATTCCTTAAGCCCTCACCAAGTTGCTGAGGCTGGCCTTGAACCTGTGATCTTCCTGTTTCAGCCTCCCAAGTCCCTGGGATTATAGGTATGTGCCACCACGCCTGGCTAGCCATAGACTTTTGATTTCTCATCAAGTAATTTTTCTGTTATCATCTACCCTCAAACTGGCTATCAGAAGCTTGCTGGCCAAAAGCTAGATTATTAATGTTTATGGGCACTCCCTAAAGTTTAGAAGTTGACATTTTAAACAACCTAAAAGAAATGGCTGCCTCATAAGATACATGATAGCTGGGCATGGTGGTGCACATCTGTAATCCCAATTTACTCAAGAGGCTGAGGATCACAGGTTTGAGCCCAGCCTGATCACCTTAGTGAGACTTTGCTCAATGGTAGAATGCCCCTAGATTCAATCCCTACTACAGAAAAAAGGGATATAGTAAACAAAGTTCATCACATTTATATTTTCTTCAGATTTGTAGTCATTACATTGTCTATAATGTAACTATATCTTAAAACCAAGAAAAGAGTTAGTGAAAAATTTGAAAAATCCATTAAAAAAAAATTCATATATCTGGGTTGGGATGACCTGAGAATGTAAACCTGGAGTGTTCTTAGATTCTCATCCTTTACCCTTATCCTAGATTTTGTAGAAAAACATGACCTACAATCAGGGGAGTCTCAGGGATGTAGAAGGACCATGGACCTGAGGCAGCATGGCAGTTCCTGTACTTAGCACTGAAAATGAGACAGCTAAGTTAAGTTTTTGTTAGAATATGAGGACCAGGATAAATAGAACATTCTAGAAATAGCCTCATGAGTAGCTTATAAAATAAGGTACAAAAGATTGAAATGAATCAAAGATTAACGTATTATAATGCCAAAGAGCTTGAGTTTAAGCCCAGGGGAAGTGGGAGTTTCTGGTCCACTTAAATTCAGTTCTCTTGCAGTCCAAATACATGGTTAATACGCTAGTCTTGAATTTTTTTTTTCTGGTAGAAATGCCAGAGCTAGATAATATTTTAACAGTTTTGTAGGTATTTGCTGTATTCCTGGCACTCTGCTAAAAGCATGATAAATGAACAGTATCAAAATCACAGTACACCATGAGGCAGATACTAATATTATCTCCTTTTTTTTCCCACAAAGAAACAAAGGTACAAATGCCCATGACCTGCTCCATGTCCTATAGCTAGTAAGCAGAGGAGTCAGGTGGAACCCAGTCAGAGTCTACATTATTACTGTGTAGAGCTTGAAATGTGTGTATTTTAAAAGAATCCCTGTAGTTTGGTTTTGAAATTCAGCAATACAAATAAGTAAATAAGCACTTAAATTATCTCAGAACAGTTAAAGCTGCCATATATTATCATATATTATCATATATTCAGTGTCCTTGTTTGTCTTCATCCAATACAGTATATTATCTAAAAGTCTAAGAAATACTTTTTTCTGCTTACTATATAAAAAGAAATTTATGATCTGTTTCATATACTCAAAGAGGTTTATTTTACATTTTTGTTCCTTTTTTGTTTTGTTTTGTTTTGTGCTTAGGGTTGATGGTACATGTTGATAAAAGAATTACTCTGGCAGCTTTCAAACAACATTTAGAGCCCTTTGTTGGAGTTTTGTCATCTCACTTCAAGGTCTTTCGAGTGTATGCCAGCAATCAAGAATTTGAGAGCGTCCGACTGAATGAAACACTTTCATCATTTTCAGATGACAATAAGGTTGATTAATCATTGAATAATTAGATCTGTTTTAAATGATAGATTTGAGAACACCTTGCACTACTTCCTAGTAAGGTGGAGTAGATACCTTAAAAGAATGGTTTTTCTTTGATGTTTATTTGGGGTGTTTTGATTATTGATATTCTTTATTCATCCATCAAATAGTTGTTAAATGTTAACTTTGCATCAGTTAGTGTTCCAGGTCCTGGGCATTCAGAGGTAAAAGATATACCTTTTCTCAAAGAGCCCATAGCTTAGGGACTTTTGGAAAACAGAACTTGAACAATGAAGTGAGAATGGGTTATCTTTCTGCTGAGACAGTGTATGTTAAAAAAAAAAAAAAAAATTGTTTTTTTTTTTTTAATTTATAGATTACAATTAGACTGGGGAGAGCACTTAAAAAAGGAGAATACAGAGTTAAAGTGTACCAGCTTTTAGTCAATGAACAAGAGGTGAGTGATGCATCAAAGAATGGTTATTTTTTATAGTTACTGAAAATATAATAATGATCAGTCATTTCTTTTTAAGATTTTAGTTTTGCAGATCATATTGTCTCTGTTGCATCTACTGAAGTCTGCCATTGTAGCACAAAAGTAGTCAGAGATGATAATATGTAAACTAATACAAAAGACTAATTGTAATAAAATTCCATTTATAAAAACAGTGGTGAATTTGACTCTCAGGTCATTATCATCACCTTGCTCTAAAATGTCACTATAGTGCAGGAGTGAGGCAAAAATTTTCCTGTCTTTAAAAATAAGTTTGTTTATGCTTGCTTTCTTGGAATGATCATAAAATGTACAGATGAATAGCAGCTCACATGTAAAATCTATAGAGACTTTTTATGTCCAGAGTCATTTTAATATGTAACAAGTATTTATGTAGTATTTACTATTTGTTCTCCAAGTGCTTCTAAAAGCTAACTCATTTAATCCTTATAAGTTAACTTCATGATATAAGTGCTATTTATTATTTCCATTTTATAGGCAAAGAAACTGTGTCACAGAGAACTTAAGGATCTTATTAATGGTCACACAATTTGTAAATGGTGGTATTAAGATTCTAAGCAAGCTGGTTTTTAGGGAGTAATCAATAAAATATTTAGTTCCTGTGATGTAAAAGACTTGTGGCTAATACCCAAAAGAATAAGACAAAGATCCTATTTTCAGGATGTTTATAACGTCTTATTGAGAATGTAGACAAACTGTAAATTTTTCATAAAATGCCTTTGTTCATTCGGCAAATACTTCATCAAACACGTTTCATATTTCTTATTTGTGACCCATTATGGTCATTTTGACTTACATTTCTTATGAATTTGGGGTTTGTGGATCTATGTTTCTTTTCAGACTATTAAGTAATGTGCTCATAGATTTAGTATGCATTTCCCTCATTTTAGTCCATTAAAGTGTTTCCTTTTATCATCAAAATCGCAATCATTTGAGCTAGGGATGTTGCTCAGTGGTAGAGTGCTTGCTTAGATTAGCATGCCTAAGGCCCCAAGTTCAATCCCTATGGCTGCAAAAAAGAAAAAGAAAATTGTGATCATTTTATTACAAGTAGGAAAATGTGAGTGCATTATTCTAGTTAATCTTCACAGTGACTCAGTGAGAAAGATACATTCCCAACTTAAATGAGAAAACTGAGGTACAGAGTACAGAGACAAGAAAGCTGAGCTGGTAAGTCTGGAGCTAAGATTTGAAACTAGGAAAATAAGACTCTTAAACTCAGGCCCTTCACATATCATTAAAAAATACAAATAAAATGTCACCATAATCCTTATCTTAATGTATAATTCAAGCTGTAATTATTTATGTTTATATTCCCAGCCATGCAAGTTTCTGCTAGATGCTGTGTTTGCTAAAGGAATGACTGTGCGGCAATCAAAAGAGGAATTAATTCCTCAACTCAGGGAGCAGTGTGGTTTAGAACTCAGTATTGACAGGTAAAGCAAAATTACAGTGTTATCAGCAGTTTGAAGAAAGGTGGTTGTATGGTCAGTTGATATAGACTGGTTTGATTTTCTAAATTTGGAAGAATTAAAAATTCTTGTGCTCTTCAGAATTTTAATAGTATTAAATAGCAGATTAGTAGTATTAAGCAAGAATATTAGAATTCTGTTTGAATTTCTTGTGAAGGATATTAAATTTGAAGTACTGGGAGCATTTCTTTACATTTTTCCCAGATTTAATGAATAGCCATTTTACTTTATTTGAACATAGTTTTCTTTTGTGTCAGATTAACATTGTTTTTTTAAGCTAAGAATTTAAAATTATACTAGTTTTAAATATGTTATGTTTGTAGGTTTCGTCTAAGGAAGAAAACATGGAAGAATCCTGGCACTGTCTTTTTGGATTATCATATTTATGAAGAAGATATTAATATTTCCAGCAACTGGGAAGTTTTCCTTGAAGTTCTTGATGGTATTAGCAATATTTTTGTGGGGAAAAGTATTAGAAATACCCTAAAACTAATAGAAGCCTACACTTTTTAATCAAATAATGAGTTATCAGGGATCTAATATGCCATATTACAGATTGATGCAATGCCTGCTTCTGTCCCATTACTGAGAGTTTTATTTACTGTCCCTGAGTTCTAGTATAATTGCTTCAGTTAATTTTAGAGAACATGTCTTTTACCTTTCTTCTTTCTCTTCTTTCTCTTGATACCATTTTCCTTTTAAATATTTCTTCTTTTTTCTACTTTGAGATCACTAATTCTCTCTTTTTGAAAGTACATTGTATAGCAAATTCTGCTAATATTTTCTTAGCCTTGTTTATTATTTTGTTTCTATTTTCATTATGGCTTATTTTGTATTGAGGATATGGTACTGATAATATAGCAAAGATTTTGAGGTTAAGGACTTAAATTAGTTACCTAGGCGGCCATTACAAAATACCACAAACTGAGTGGCTTAAACAATAGCAATTTATTATTTCACAGTTCTAGAGGCTTGAAGTCAGAGGTCTAGATGTTGGCAGATCAGTTCCTTAAAGTCTTGTAAGGGAGAACCTATTCTATTCCCTCCTCTAGCTTCTGGAGGTTTGTTGGCATTTCTTAGCTTATAGTTGTAGTACCTCAGGTGTCTGCCCTCATCTAAACATGGTGCTCTTCCTGTAGGCGTGTCTGTACCTAAGTTTCCCCCTAATGACCTCATTTTAACTTGATTTCCACTCTAAAGACCCTATTTCCAAATAAAGTTGCATTCTGAGTTACTTGGGATTTGTACTTCATATCTTTTGAGGATGAAACAACCCATAACAGTAACCTCTTGATTTACTGTCAGCATTATGACATTTAAAATATTGTTTTTGGAAGAAATAGTGGAAGGAAAGATGGCTTTGGGGAGTTCTACTAGTTCTATAATCTTTTTTTTTTTTTTTAACTGTTGTTGCTTAGAAGGATTTTGATTTAATTTTTTTCCTATAGAAATTAAAATATTAATTCTGGATATTTTATGTAAGATTATAATAGTCTTATAGAGAGTTCAATAGTACAAACATCTCCCCTCTTTAGAGGCTGTTTCAATTCTAATTTGGTTTAAATATAAATAGTTGAAATTCTGATTAGTTGAAAAGTTAACTGGAGAGGGAAAGAACTTCTGGGCATCATTTTGTGTGGGCAAGTGTTCCAGATTGCAGATTCCTTCTCTGAGTATTGGGGCCTTAGAGAATAACCACTGTGACTGGGCAGGGACCATGAAGAAAATAAAAATCACACTTGGAAGGAAAGATTAAGTATAATGTATTGGCAAAGATGGTTAGATATCTCTAGTACTCGATTGTGGGTGCCAGCATCAATATCACTTAAGTATATATTTATCATTAAAATAGTTGAATAAAAATAAGTCATGTAATTAAATCCAAGAAACATTTACTCAACTGTATCCACCAGATTCTGCTAATTCCTGGTGCTACAAAAATGAGTAAGAGTCAGAGATTGCCTATTACCTGCAATGTGATCCATGGGAGAATTAAGAACTACAGACCAGTCATTCTAAAATAATAGGTACTAAGGGTCGAAATCAATGGGATTTGCTTTTGTATATACCAGAGAAGCAAGTGACATTGACTTGGACTTTAAAGAATCGAAAAATTTGGGAGTTCATGAAAAGAGAAGAAATAACTGACATGAAAAAAAAAGGAAGGATAAAGTAAACATGACTTGATTATGATTTCAGGTTGGGGTAATAGCCATTAGAGAAGCAAACACTGAAGATCCAGAGGAGAGAGTAATTGGTAAAGCAGCATCCAACAGGAGTCAGGAGGGAGTACTGGCTGAAGGATGGCTTATAAAAGAAAGCAGTCGTCTTTGAAGAATAGAAAGAAGAGAATAAACATTTCATTCTTAACTCCTTGGGATAATTGGTTTTTTCATGTCTACTTTAAAGAATAGCACTTGAAGTAAATCTTTTTGTTTAGTCAGGAACTATAGGGAAAGTCAAAATATGAACCTTTAGGGAAAATAGAATGATGGGCATGATCTTGCATGTTCTTAGGGGTAGAGAAGATGAAGTCCATGTCGCAGCTTGCTGTTCTGTCACGACGGTGGAGGCCTTCAGAGATGAAATTGGATCCCTTCCAGGAGGTTGTGTTGGAGAGCAATAGTGTTGATGAGTTGCGAGAGAAGGTAAGTTCATTTTAAACAAAATGAACTAATATCCATTTCTCTTCCACTGGTAACAAGACAGGCCGGTAGGCTAGAAAGTGAATACCAAACATTATTGGCACAGCCTTCATTGGTCTCTGTTACTTCTGGTTGTTCCTTAGAGCTCCTGAGGTTTTCAAAATTGCTTTGGCTCTTATTCATCTAGAAGTGGACCTTCACTTTCTGTTACTTGAAGCAGTTTTCTTAAGTAATTAGAATTAGTTACAAGTTAGTAGATTGCTGTAAGTCTAAAAGGAAAAAAAATAGAATTGAAAAATGAATTCAAATGAAGGTCTGTTTTGCACTTTAAGATGAGAACTGTAAGAATTTAAGGGGAAAGGGAAAATTACTCTATCAGTAGTACCAGTACAAAGCTTTTTTTTTTTTTTTTTTCCCTCTTTGTTCTCTTTTTTTCTTTTGGATGCTGGGGATTGAGCCCAGAGCCTCACACATGCTAGTCAGGCACTCTGCCACTGAGCCACATCCCCTAGTCTTACAAAGGCATTTGGATAAATATTTATTTTCATACTTCATACCAGACACAAGAATAAATTCTAAATGCATTAAATGTATATAAGAAAGTAAAATGATAAAGGTACTGGATCACAATATTAAAAATATGTATATAATCCTGAAAAAAGATGTTTGTAAGCATAATGCCAAAAGCCAAAGAAAGAAAGGAAATACTACATACAAGCTTAAATTATCTGTAGAGCCAAAACCGGGTATTTAAAAAACTATATATAAGCAAAGATAAAAGAGAAGAAAATTATGTAAACCTATATGTAACAAGTTGTCCATAATAAAGATGGACAGCCTAATTTTAAAAATAGGCTAAGAACATGAATAGATGAACAGGCAATTCATAGAAGAAATACAAATTAAAATAATACCATTATGTTTCATCTCAATGCGAAGATTTAGAAAATTAAAAAATACCTGGAGTTGTCAAGGTTTCGGGGGAAATGGGCAATATCAAATGCCTCTGATAAATATTCAAATTCAGAGTCTTTTTAGGGTCAAATTCCACATCTTAAGAATTAGATCTGTGAAGTTATATAAAATTATACTTATGTAAAATTGTACTTATAGAAATATTTATGAATATAATTTTATGCATTGTAGAAATGTGTGAGTAGATTTATGTACGTGTGGAAGACCTGGAAGGAATGTATTAACTTGATGTTTGTTGGGCTTAGCATTTGCATGGTGGCCGGAGGAGAGAATTGCACTTTCTGCTTTTTCTTCTAATTTATTACATCAGCATATTATTATTATTATTTTTTTTTTTGGTGGAAGGGGAGGATCAAGCAATTTGTGGGATAAAAGGAAAATAATTTCGAAGTTTATGTTTTAAAATTAACTTATATAAGACCTTTTCTTTTACAGCTAAGTGAAATCAGTGGGATTCCTTTGGAAGATATTGAATTTGCCAAGGTAAAGGCCTGAGAGTGTTAAATCTGTGTATTAATGCACAACAAACATGGCTATAGGCGTGATCTATGCATTCATTTTTTTTCTCCTTAGGGCAGAGGAACTTTTCCCTGTGATATTTCTGTCCTTGATATTCATCAGGATTTGGACTGGAACCCTAAAGTTTCTACCCTGAATGTCTGGCCTCTTTATATCTGTGATGATGGTGCCGTCATATTTTATAGGTAATATTCCAGTATTTTTGTTGCTTGTTCTTGTAATGATAAACTGTTTTTAGCATGCATGAATATCTTGTTTACCATAAATTTACTGTTATTTTGATAGAGAATAGTACTAACCAGTAGAAATGCAGTGAATGTCACACATTATAATTTGAAGTTTTCTAGTAGACACATTAAAAATAGTAAAAAGAAATAGGCAAAATTAATCTAATACTTATCATCCAATTTATCCAAAACTATTATCATTACATCATGCCACCAGTACAAAAAATGATTTATGGGATAGTTTATATTCTTGTACCAAGTCTTAGTAATGTTGTGTATTCTACTTTCAGTACATCTCATTGTGGATCAGTCACATTTTAAGTGCTTGTTAGTCATATGTGGCTAGTGATCACCTAATGGGATAACACAGATATAGAGAAATAATGATGATTTTTGAAGCCAAGGAGGTGTGGGTTCAAATTTAGCCTTTTATTTACCTAGCTCCTCATCTGTAAAATGATTCTATATCATTTTGAGAAGTGAGCTGAGTGCTTAATATGATAAACAGATTAGAACTCTGTAAGATTCCCTAGTATGTGAGATTATATTCAACCTCACCAGTGACAGTCTGACTGTCTAGCTAAGGAGCATCATAGCATTCAAGCATAAATTAATAGAGGCAGTTGGATAACTAGTCTCATATGTAATTCATATTTTAAATAAAGGGATAAAACAGAAGAAGTAATGGAGTTGACAGATGAGCAAAGAAATGAACTGATGAAAAAAGAAAGCAGTCGACTCCAGAAGACTGGACATCGTGTAACATACTCGCCTCGTAAAGAAAAAGCACTAAAAATATATCTGGATGGAGCGCCAAATAAAGATCTGACTCAAGACTGACTCTGCTAGTGTAGCATTTTCCCTGAGGGATTTTTTTGATTTTAACTAGATGGTTCACTACTACTGTGTAGTGCCATTATGGCCGGACATGGTTGGGGTAACCCAGTGACACCAGCACTGATTGGACTGCCCTTCACCAATCAGAAGCTCAGTGCCCAATGGGCCACTGTTTTGACTTGGAATCATGTTGTGCACTATAGTCAAATGTACTGTAAAGTGAAAAAGGGATGTGCAAAAACAATTAAAAAAAAAAAAAGCAAAACCTGCTACTAGAAAAGGGGGAAGGGGAATGAGTAAAATTCTTTTATTGCGGACAAATGTGCACATAGCCGCTAGTAAAACTAGCCTCAGACAGGATGCTCATAGCTTAATAATAAAAGCTGTGCAAAGGCCATGAATGAATGAATTTTCTGTTTATTTCACTGATACACACATTACCTCATTGACAATTCAGAAGTAAATGCAGCGTGTGTTGTCTCTTGGAAAACAGCAAAAATAGGAGCTGAAGAAAGAAATTCTTAGAACGAGTTGTAACCCAGAAAAGAATTGTGAAGTTGTGTTTTTGTTTTATTTTTTGCGAAGTATTAAGGACATTTTGGAACATCAAAACATTTCCCTTAGACCTATCCCAGCAGGTGGCAGCTCAAATTACTGCAGTTTTGTAATTATAACTGATTGTACTTAAGTTATGGATGTAGAGAATATGTTCCACTCGTTCATTCAGCATGTAAATAAAATTATCCTGTTGAGTTATCATAGTTGTAGTTCAGCTATATCCCATGGTTATTCTTTTCACACATCATTCATTATGTACATTTGTGTACATTGAGAAGTTAGCAGTCTGTGTAAATGTAATCCTCAGTGAGGTTCCTCAGTGCTGGGTCCCATAGGATTGTATTTTCCCTTGTTAATGAGGTTTTTCTGTTAAGCGGCTTCTTTTTTTTTTTATTTGTACATTTATTTTTAAAGATTTACCTCCAGTTTGAATCTTCTAGGATGCTTGTAAGTCCCATTTTAATTTTAGAGTCAGTTTGTAGATCCATGTAGTTTAACTTTGAGGAAACGTCTTAACATACTGAGTAAATTTGCTAGTAAGGTCATCTTCGTATAGACTGATGCAGTCAACAGGGTTTCATTGAAAAGTCTATTAGAATGAGCAAGTTTTTGCTTTGCTAAATAAAACTATACAGTGACCACAATTCTACATAAATTTTGAAATATCATCTAATTTATAAAAATAAAAAGGTTTTGGTAAAACTTTTTCATGCCAGATGCTGTTTACAACAATGAACATGCCAATAAAACATTTGTTCATTCTGTTGTGTTATTTTAGTCATTACACTTTTGTGGATAATGAATCTGAGTTAAGAATAGGTTGGTTATCTTTAGATATAATACTTCAAAACATGAATATCTCATGATAAAGGTATATTTACAGTGAAGTTCTCATTAAGAGAGATGAAAAGATGCTAATATCTAACTTTTGGGGATCCTGCCAATATTTCAAAATCACATTTCTTCCCCTTTTTTTTCTAAGAAAGATATAATTAGAAAATAGTATTGGCAAATGTAGGCTTCACAGTTTGAATGTTATCACTGAGAATTCTATAATGTCTTATTAAGTCTCTTAGAATCCACAAGGGAAAAAAATTTTTTTTCCTAAGGTAGTTTTCTGGCTAATTTTTATTCCATGTAAACTGTATCATTCAGTTTACATTTGGAGTAATTTTCTGTATTTTCATTAGTCTTTCAGGTTGCTTGGATTTTCTTATGTAAGGGGGGCAAATTCGTACTGAGCCAGACCTGTTTACTTGGGACATGGGCTTTAATAAATGGGGTTTCTGCTTTCAAAAGACTGACTTCCTGGTGAGCAGGGGAGGCAACCTTGGAAGCAAAATGGGCTTAGGAATTGGGTTTGGCTTTGTTTGGCCTCGTGTTCATTAAAGAGTCAGTGGTGAAATTCTCATTCTTCTGCTCCTCCGTCTGTGCCTTCTGCTCTGGTTTTGTTGTCTGTTTTGTGTTTAACTGCTGCTTCTAATTGCAGGTATATTACAAATACCAAGAGTAGAGAAAATGTATTTCATTATAGGGAAAAATAAAAAAGCTTGCTTTTCAGTGCCTGATAGGGTAAGTGAAAACACAGTGTTGCACTTTAATAATTTCAGTAAAGAAGGTAGTGAAATTTTCAAAGTGAATCTGTGGAGGTAGGAAGAGTATTTTACCCAAGGGATGTCACTGTGCATCAGTCTCCCTGGGCTTCAGAGAATCGGGTGAGCATCTGCAACCCTAGAAACGGCACTGATGGTATAAATTGAGTACCAGAGCCCTGGGATAGGGACAGTCTGATGATGCCTGTCTCCCAAGGCTGAGGCAGGCAGCTTGTGAGAAATTGTGATCCTGCTGCCCACAGGTCATGCAGATGTTTTGAAGAGCTTTTACATGATGGGTGTGGTCTCCCCTGCACCTACATGCACACCCTCTGAGAACCAAGTGTCTGCATTTTCTGAGGCAGGTGCTTAGGTTGGAGGTACATTCTGGCCAGAGAAACCAAAGCTGTGGTTTCAGGACCATTCCACATTTAACTGGTCTGTACAAAAATTTGCTAGGCCCACTTTGCAAACTAAGGAAGTGTACACAGGGATAGTAATCATGATAGATAAAAGTTGTGTGTGAAGGAGCTCTTCCTTAGAGTGTTTGTTGATCAAGTCTGGGAGAACCTGTGCCCCAGCCAGAAAATAAACTATGTAGCCATTGGCTGCCAGCCCACTGTTAGGAGGCTGAGGAGCTGCAATTACCCGCTGGTCCAAGCCAAATGAGTGTACGGCACCTCAGCATTGCAGTGTTATTACTAGATCTGGAAGTGACCTATGAATGTATGGAATACAATAAAATCTTTTGTTCTGGTTCATTTGCTATATTTCCTTTTCAATTGGATGTCATAGCTCTTCCTCTGGATTTGATCCCTTTGTTCAACATCAAGGCCCCAACCAATTCTTCATACTTGTGACTTGCAAATTGTAGTCTAGAGTACAGAATGTGGAATAGGAGATACCAAGAATTAGCAGGTTTTTTGCTGGCTAAATAAAACTATTCCATCCAAACAATTCTGTGTAATTTTTGAAAAACAAATCACTATTTGGGTCACAAATTATAAGAAAGCCATAAATTCTAAAGTCAGATGCAAAATTATGTATGTGGTATTCTAGGAGGTTAGCAGATGGTTTTTATCAGGTATTCAAAGGAGTTCATGGCCAGAGGAAGCTCCTCTCCACTTAGGTCTAGAATGAAAGCCAGAATATGCTCCCCAGTGCAGTTCACATGGGGAAGAGGAGGGCTGTCACCATTTGGTTAGACCCACCCTGTATTAATTTTCATAACTTGGCTTTCAGAAACAACACCAGACAAACAAGAAAGCATTAGGGCACGCATCACCATTTAGAAACATGCAGATTCCAGTAGGGGCCAATCTAGGAAGGCAAAAACCCTTGGAGTATGCTGCCCTTCCCCAGGACAGCATGGTCTCCTTCCACCCTCAGCTGCCAGTCCCTATAAGGAAAGTGAATCTTGACTGGTTGTAACTTGAGAATTCACCAGGCCCAGATTGGTAGACCCTATGACCCAGCCTTCAAGTGAGGGGCCACATTCCACCTTCTGCTTTCTGTGCTCTGGACATCCCCTCCCCCACACAAGGGCCTCTATTTAACAATTTAGTAGCCTGCCCAGAGCATCAGCTTACGGAGGTATGAATAAGCAGGGTTGTTTTCCTGACAACTGTACCAACTTCTGTGAAATGCAGTTTCCCACGGAGAGATGGGCTTACATTAAAGTCTCAGTGCAATCCAGTAACGTGGGTCACTGCATTAAGACAATCTGATTGGAAAAGTGTCAGTCCTTTGATTCAAGGCTCCCCACACCCCCACAAGGTGCCCACTAGCTGTGTGGCTTCCTGCTGGGAGCAGGGAGGGGGGTTTGTGTGGTCAGCCTCTCCTTTCCCCTTGATCTTCCTGCACCGAAGAGGTAGGAAGAGGGGAAGAGACATCTGCTTTCTTAAACAGTCTCTGTCCTGTTGGTGAGGTTGTTTGTCCCCTTTTGACTGGCCACTTAACCCTTGTAGACTGGAAGATAGATGTCCCATGGGTCCTGTCAGCGAAGAACTTGACTCTAAGCGACATTTGGTCCCTTATCAAACGACTGTTTGCCAACCTTTGGGCAGTAGACCTTCCCTGTAATGGGCGTGTACCATTAACCCATGCTGCATGGGCCCTACCAGGTCTTCCACCCCAAATGTCATCCATCATTCTGACCACATTTCCCCTGTCTTTGAAATTGTGCTGTCAGGATTCACTGGAGGGTCCAATGGTGGTCCTTCCCTGCTAACAGGATGCTATTCTGATTGCTGCTCCTTGCCTCCTGTGCGAGACGGGTGCCAGTCCCCAAGTCCTGCACAGCTTCCCATCTTTGAACTGTCAGTAGCTCCATACAAGTTTTGAGAGTATGCCCTAAATTTGCCCTCAGGTTTCAGCCAAGGGAACAGGTCTAGTTTCTCCTCCCCCAGGGGAAGTCAGGGAGGGGAATCATCTGTTTGCCACACTGCATCTCCCAAAAGCATACTTCACACCTGCTCTAGGCTTCTTCACACAGGACCACCACAGTACTGCTGCCACTATGGTGGCAGTTCTCAGCAAGCCCCAAGTGAAGGTGCCTCCCTCCCCAGCTGTTGACATAGAAATCCCACCTGGGTATCAAAAACTGATCTTGAGGGTACAAGATCAGGTGGCACACACCTGTAATCCCAGCACCTCAGGGGGCTGAGGCAGGAGGATCACAAGTTCAAGTCTGGCCTCAACAATTCAGCAAGAGCCTGTCTCAAAAAATAAAAAAAAAGTTTTTGAAGTAATAAATAAGTCACATTTCTTGGCAATCTGGAGAGGCTGTACAGAAATCCTTGCCCCTTTCTCATCCGCCCTCTCCCCTCACAGATAACAGGCCCTTCACTTCTTTCTCTCTTCAATCCCATCCTCTTGCCCTAAAACCCATTCTCAATTATGTGGGAATCCCCACAAACCCAGCTACTGGGGCTTTGTCCTGTCCTTGGGTGTCATGCATCATGCAAACAGCTCCTATATCAGGAATGCTCTGGCCTTCAACAGTCTAACAGCAGGTTTATCTGTAATAATAGAGATAAGGTTGAGACCAGAATTGGTTTGTTTCTCAACATCAAGGACCCAGACTCTCCACCTCTGTACTAGGCAGACCCAGATGCCTATGGCTTGATCTTTGGATCCTCTGAATACTTGCATTCCAAGAGAGACTGCAGAGGTGATTAAGGTTAAGGGCCTTGCCATGGGAAGATTATTCTGCATTATCCAGGTAAATCTTAAAAGTGAGAACCTTTCACTGCAACCAGAGTGACAGCACTCAAGATAGAGGGCCCTGATAGTGCTGGCTCTGAAGGACCATGAGCCAAGGAAGGTGAGCCACTGGTAAAGACTAACAGAAGCAAGGAAATGAATGGTCCCCAAAGGCCTCCAGGGAGGAATGCAGCGCACCGGATCACAGATCCCCAGAGAGCTGCGGCAGAGCCAAATGCCACATCCTGAGCACCTGTCCTGGAAAGCAGGGAACAAGGGTAGGGCTGGAAAGGAGGGCTGCTTCTTATTTGTCATTCTCCTTTAGTCTGAGGGAAAAATGTTTCCTAGAATTTCTTTGACAGCTTTGCCTTTCAATTGCCTCACCCAGAATTGAGTCCTGAGACCATCCCTAGCTGGGACTAGCTGTCGAGTAGCCAAATGGCCAGTGACTACCATGGCTTCCTTGGCAGCAACTGGATACAGAAGAACAGGCAGTGAGATTCGAGAACCACACTCCACTCCACACATGGCATTTAGAGCTGTGAGTAGACGCCACATCTACACCCGATGATGCAAAGTCTCTCCTGTTCTATTTCAGTGGCTATGATAACCAAGTGGAGCAGGATTAAAACAACCTAAGAGTGCCAGGAGAAAAGGACCTAGTTTTATCTCATTTACAGCTGCCTCTTTGGCACCTAATATAGCGCCCGACATGCGGTAGGTGCTCAACACATTATTGGTAGAAATCATTTTCAGCCTCTTCTGAAGCACGACAAGCCCACCTCACCTTCCAGCCACTGCAAATGACATTCAGTTTCCCCTCCCTGAGACCGCCCCTTCTTGCCTCCTTCCTTCTGCCTGTGGCCTGGAATGCCTTTCCTGTCCCCTCTAGCATCCTGATACACCCTGACCATCTTTGGGAGCCAGTTCCCATGCCAACTCTCTAGGCCAAGTGCTCCACTAGGGCTCCTGCACACTCCAGTATCGGGTTGGCCCTTTTTTGTCTGGCTGCTTAGTTTGGCTGTGTCTCTCATCCTTAGACTGTGAGACGTTGAGAGTGGGGGCTGTCTGCGTCAACCTGGCACACAGCACATCATGGCGGCTATCTCTGGGTGGGCGTAGCACAGACCTGCTGATCAGTATGCAACATGGAGAGTGATCCCATTGATTTTTGACACTGAATAGGGAATAGCTCTGTGTTTGAATAATCAGTGTATTGTGGACATACTACATTAGATGCTGTTTTTATCAGACTTTTGAATCTTTGGGTAACTCCATTTTTTCATCCATCAAATAAAGTTGGGATTCATTGAAAAGGAAAAGAGTTGATACAGGTGGAGTGCCTAATCTGGCGCCCGTCACCCTGGTGACCTAACCGTACTACAGTGGCTTCATTACAGTCCTTGAAGATCTAATTGCTGCAGTCTGCTATGGAGGGGTGTCCTTCAAAGGTCCATGTGCTAAAAAGGCTTGGTCCCAGCATGGTACTGTTGGGAGGAAGTGGCACCTTTCATCTTTAGGAGGGGGGGGCGCTAGGGGGGGTTATGCTTTTAAAGGGGATTATGGGACTCCAGTCTCTTCCTCTCTCCAGCCATGAGATGAGCAGTTTGGCTTCACCACATGCTCCTACCATGAGGTGCTTTCTCTCTACAGATTCAAAGTCAAAGGATCAGGGAGGGACTGGAACTTTCAAATCTGGTGAGTCAAAATAAAGTTCATTATCTCAGGCATTTTGTTACAGTGACAAAAACCTCATTAATCTGCATTTGATTACAGGAAGCTTCTAAGAAAAGACATCACCAGGCTCAGAGGCATATGCTTCTAATCCCAGTGACTTGGGAGACGGAGGCAGGAGGAGAATCTCAAGTTTGAGGCCAGCCTCAGTAATTTAGTGAGACCCTGTCTCAAAAATTTTTTTTTTTTTTGTAAAAGGTCTGGGGCTGTAGCTTAGTGGTAAAGTACCCCTGGGTTCAATCTCCAGGACCCCCCCCCCCACACACACACACACACACACTCTCTCTTATTCCATTTGTTCTTTCAGGAGACAGTGAAGCAGTTACACTTTTAATCCTAATTCTGATCCAGAAATGGTTAAGATTTCTAAAATATCTGGATCCTAAAGGAGGTATGCTTCAGATGTCTGGAAAATTTGCTTCTATGGAAGAAATCTGTTTTGTACAGGTCATTTGTATTTTATCGTTTATGGCTGAAATGGTTTTATATTTATTCAAAATCAGAAGAAAAAAATGAAGTCCAAGAACCACAGAAGTGTAGTCGAAGTGATTTATACTGGATTTCTAAATGCAACGTGTTTATACATAATTTAAAACTCAAAGAAAGCATGCTTATACAATCATGTGCAACTTTAAAATTTAATAACTCTGAACAAATACATGATGGAAACAATTCCTGGCACCTGAAAATATCATTTGTGGAATGACATCCAGCTCAGTGTTCTCAGTTTGAATATTACAACCATATTTCATAGAACCTGGCTTTGTTTTATTTGCTCCATGTGGTCAATAATGACCTTCAGCTGCTGCTAAGTGATTTTTCAAATTTCATTAATCATCTCTGCCCTACCATTATCTCAGTGTTTTCTGCAAGTTAACTTAAATACTATACCTTCAAAATGACTAATGCAAATGGCCACAGGGGGAATGTCCACGCCACTGGTCTCCACCAGTATGATGGCTACCCCACATTGCTATTTCTAACAGAATTTCAATCTTAAAGAGCTATCAGATGTGCCTCAAAAGAAAAAGATCTCATTCTCCTTCCTTTTAGAAGTACTGTTGGTGGCACTGAGTTTGGTGGGGCGTAGGGTAACTGGAAAAACACTGGGCTTGGAGTCATCCCTGGGTGAAACCCCACTCTGGTCTTCACTAGCTGTGTGACTTGGGCAAGTAACTTGTGGTCTCTGAGTCTCCAAGATCCTTAAGAGATGAGAACAATGCTCCTCCTCCACAGGCTGTGATGAGAGGGAGTCAGTCGCCGGAATGAGAATGCCGTCCTGACGCCCAGGTAGGAGCCGAGGGAAGCAGCCGAGTGGATGAGCATGTGAAGCGGGGCGAGCTGATCATCCCTGCAACAGCTGCCTCTGCCCGTGGAAAGATCTCCTCGCGAACGGCCGTTGTTGCGTTTTTGCCACGTGGATGTTTGCAAAAGCAGGGCACCCTTCTCCACGCCTCCCCAAAACCCATCAAGGGCAGGCTCTACCTCATTTTTCACCTTTTCCCTTCCAACAGTTCTCAAATAATGCCTGCCCACCCATAGGGGCCCAGGGGCTGGGTTCTGCCCTCACCCTGCCAGGCCCGGTCTTTCTCAAGCACCAGCACGGTGACGCGTGGAGGGCAGCCGCGAGCAGCTGGACGAACGCACAGCACCTCATTCTGTTAAGCCAGAGGGAAAGTTTACTGGGGAGAAGACACGGGGGAAAGCCTGGCCAGCCCACACCTAGGGGACACACCTGGGGAAATAAATTAGCTATTTCTATTGCACGTCTACCCGCGACACGGGTTTGCATCTAAATCTCCTCTCCCCCCAGCAGCTCAGCAGCAGCAGGCTCCCCGAGCACCATCTCCTGGGTCAGGCTCCTCTCCAGGTCCTCCAGTTCCTGGCGTACCTCCTCCATGAAGCCACCATCTTCATACTCATCAGGAGCCTCCCTGGGCAGCAGGCTGTCCCCGTCTTGGCTGTGGCTACCAACGAAGGCTGGCTTACACACATACACCAGGCTGTGGCTAGGGAAAGACGGGGCTGGGACTTAGCCAAGATTCTCCCCACGCGGGCAAAGCTGGGCTCTAAGCATGGGGGTGCCTAGAGGGGAGGCCCTAGGCTGCCATTTCTATGGACCTTCCAGCCTCACCTGCACACCACTTCTTCTTCAACAGCTTCCGCTTCATACCAACATCTTACTTGAAACAAGATGGCTGAAGGAAGGTCAACTGGGAGGCTGTAGTAAGGGGCAGCAACCCCACTCCAGCTGTAGGCTTGTTTTCCTGTGGCTGACTCTTGGGTTCAGCAGCCCAGGGACAGGCCCCAAGGATGACAGGGTTTGGGAGTTCCCAGCCACACAAGACCTCTCAGTCCCCTGCCCACCTGGGCCTCCAGGCAGGAGGCAGCCTGAGTGCAGCATGGTCTGACTCCATGTCTGATACCCCTGGGTTGTCTGCCCTGCCACCCTGGATTCTGTGGAAGAGGGGGTTGAGTTGAGGCTGCTCAGAGGACAAGAAGGTGTGCAGAGATGCCATGTCTGAGCCCTGGTGCATCAGTCTCTCTGCAGCCTGACACTGCTGGTGCCCTCCACCTGAGCGCCCACTCCTCATTTCCTTCCTGCCCCTCTACCAGCACTCTCTCTTCCTGTCCATTGCCCGGGGAAATAAATTAGCTATTTCTATTGCACGTCCACCCGCAACTCGGGTTTACATCTAAATCTCCGGGGCTCCCTCCTCAGCCCTCAAATTTTCTCCTCCATGCCCTCTTGTGGGTCATCTGCCTGTGAAGCTTCAGTCCTTGAGATGAGCCCCAAATCTGTGACCCAAGGACACCTCCAATTAAACCTGCCCTGCTGAGTCCACATCTCCCCAGGCAAAACCTCCTGCCCTTGAGTCCCCACTTCACCTATCTCAGTCTCTAAAGGAGGGACTCACCTGTGGGGCTGGCAGAGGAGGCCACTGGCACATGGACATCGGTCCAAAGCTCCATCAGGCTCCAGCTCCCAGGTGATGAGGTCCAGGAGCCGGCTGGCCGGGTCATGGCAGAGCTCATCCTCCACGGGCAGGGGTGTGCACACGGGGAACAGCAGGCCTGGAACCAGCCAAGAGTAACCACAGGGAGGGACAGAGAGATGGACCCACCCCCCGAAGTGAACTCGGGATTGAAGAAGTGGAATGAGAGGGAACAAGATGGCGATATGGACGCAGGAGGAGTGACGGGGAAGGACACAGGGGCACTGGTGGGGCAGGGTGGGGAGGGTGTCTGCCTGGAATAAGTGAGCTGGGTTTTAGGGAACAAAATCTGGAGAAATTAAGTCTGGGTAGAGCACCTACAAAGACCTGGGGTCAGGTCAAAGGGAAAGGGTGGTAGAGGAGGGGTGGGGGAGAAGTGGAGGGGACCATGAGGCCTTGTGAGTCTATCTGTTACGGAAGGTGACAGGGCTACTGTGGATCCCAGGGAGTAACCCCGTAAGGCAGTTCTTCCAGAAAACCACCGAAGCAGCAGGTCCTTGGAGGCCCTGTGGGGCTGGGGGAGGCAGAGCTGGGGAGGTGGCTCAGGAGAGCTCTCGGCCACACTAGTGAGAGCAGAGGGAGCCTGAGCAGGCCTCACCTGGAAGAGACACTGTGGATGGAAGCTGGGAGAGGGACAGGGCCAGTGTTCCCTCTAGGGCCTGGAGAGGGAGTGGGACGGGGAGGGGCTGCTGGAGTCCAGCCTATGTGGGGACACCCTCCTGCCCTGGGCTCATGCACCATGAAAGAATTTAATTTTCTAGACATTAGCAGGGTGGAAAAAAGGGTCTTCCCACTCAGGCTCAGATTGTGGGTCCCACCCAGGAGACGGGACCCTGAGAAGGTGTAAGGGACATGGCTATGGCTCCAGCAGGCCCTGGACAGGCAGAACTTGGGACAAGCTTCCTCTGCACTCAGAGGGGAGCCCACCCACCTCTTTGGAAGGCGCAGCACAGCCCAGGCTGGCAGTCCCTCTGGTTGTCACAGATGGTTCCATTGCCACCTCTGGTGGCCTTTTTGTTGCAGTGACCCCAGACGCAAAGCTGGTCTCCACAGCACTCACTGTCCCGGGTGCAGAGCTGCAGAGAGGTGAGGAAAAAACAAGTGTGACAGCTCAGAGACCTTAGGAGCCTGGCCCAGCCCGGCCCAAAGATGCCACAGATACTCTCGCTAAAGGAGGAAGAGACAGAGTGCGGTCCTAGGTGGGTGGGCTTTAGTGTAAGTCAAGGAGGCCGGGGTGGGAGCCTGGCTGTCAAGACACGAGGGGCCAAAACGTTGGAAAAACAGCACCTAACAAGTCATGTGTGAGTCCTTCACAGCCTGAGAGTCTGCAAGGGACAGTTGAGTATCTTTGAGCCCCACCCAAGACTTGGGCCTTCCACTTTTCAATTAGGACCCTAGGTCAGGAAGGACGTGGCTCCAGGCCTCCAGATGCAGGCAGCTGTAAGATTCCAATAAGCTGACCAAGCATGAGGCCCAAGCCCGTAAGCCCAGATGGGGATGGCCCAGGGGTGCCAGGGGCTTGGAGCCACACAGAGAATGGCAGCTGGGAGCAGTGTGGGGTCGGTGTGGTGTGCCTAGTGATGTGGGGTGGGCTGGGAGGTATCACAGCAGCTGCTTCACCACGGAAGGGCTGAGCAGGGTAATGAGAAAGGCTTTATTTTCTAAATCATCATGCTGTGTATTGGACAAGTGACAAGGGAGTCTGAGCCACAGCTTTGTCCAAAACGTCTGTGGGATGGAGGGGAGAGTGTCCTTTGCCCACCTAGCGTTTCTCGGTGGAACCTCCATTAGGGGAGAGCTTTGGCCTCCTGGCTCCTCCTCTGCCCTCTTCTGATCTGGGGGTGGGCTGCAAACCCAGAGGACAGAGAGCGGCTGCCTTTCCTCTGCCTGAGGGTGTTGCTTGTGTCTACTAGAGTGAGTCATCCCAGGAGAAGGGGTAGAGCCTCCTCCCTCCCCTTCTCTGCCATTCATGGGACATTGTGACCAGAGATCCTGGGTGGGCCAGGGGTAGCAGCAGGTCTGCAGATGGCTTCCTGCAATCCCAGACTGGTCACTTCCTGGTCATTCCAGAGTCAGCTCCTTTGGGATCCCTCTTCACCATCGAGGGAGCCTTTTGATGGTGGAGAGGGATCCCAAAGGAGCCCATCTGAGAGTCCCTGGGACCCCTGGCCGTCTCCCCCAGCTTCCCTGACCTTGTGCTGCAGCCCAGGAGACCTGGGCATCCTTACCATCTGCTGCTCCCGGCACGGCTGGCAGGTGTACTGGAAGCTAGCGAACTGGCAGTACCTGGAGGGCCCGCAGTCCTCGTCAATGATGCACTCCTGGGGAGGGCAGAGGGGGCCTCATCAGTGAGATGCAGGGCTGCGACCCACAGAGCCCAGGAAGGCTGGGATGAAACACGGGCCCGGATGCTCAGGAAAGGCCTACAGGCCTCAGACACCCCTGAGCCTGCTGGCTGCTCTTCCCCATCTCCCCTGGAACCAAGGATGCCACACCCGATTCACACGCTGCCTGTGTGCAGTCTCCGCCCACACGCCCCGGGCAGAGCTGAGACAGACTGGCCTTCCACCGGCAGCAGATGGGTCTAATAAAAAGTGCTAATGAGTTCCAGGCCCAGGGGGCTGCACAGGAAGGGCTGGAGGCCAGGCCCAGCAGGCCCTATGCCTGTGAAGTGGAGCAGAGGCTGGGCCGCTGGCCTCCTGCCCTGAAGGCTGCAGCCCTGCCTGGGGAGCACTTGTGGTGCCCTGGGCCCAGTGTCCTGGCAAGAGGCAGAGGCAGCTGCCAGCTTGGACGTGAGAGGAGCGGGGCTGGGGTCCCGCCTCCCAGGGCAGGAGCTTTCTCCTCATGACTGGCGACTCCTCGAGGTGGAGAGATGAAGGGGAGGAGGAGGAAGGACGCCTGTCCGCCCCTGAGTCAGACTCTGGTCTCAACTTCAAAGCATGGAAAGGAGGGCAGGAAACAGGGGGAATGTGATGACAAGAACAACCATCAACCCCCAGTGCAGGCTGGGCTCCACTGGGGGACTGTCCCAGCAGGTGGCAGATAGGCATTGCCTCCCTATGTTGCCAACTAGGAAATGGAGGCTCAGAGAGGCCAAGGGTTTCCCCCAGAGCACCCAGCTAGTGCAGGGTACAGGGACACTGCCCACCAGCAGCTCTTGAGCAGAGGGGCTCAGGGCTCCAGATACAGCATCCAGAGGGCAGCGAGGTTCCCTGAGGCCTAGAGTTCTGGGGCCCCAGCATACCATCTGGAAAGGCCTTGGCAGAGAGGAGGACCTGCTTCCCCTCTGTTTCGGTGTATCCTCCACCTGTAAGCAGGTAGGGAGTGCATCCTGGAGAAGCCTAGATGGGCAGACCTGGATCTAAATTGGTCCCCGCCTCTGCACTGCGAGCCCATGGGTATGGGCAGGCTCTCTAGGTACTAGGGACCTAAGTATACATGTAGACTGGGAATCAACAGAGAGGCTGTGGCCAAGTGGCCAAAGAAATGAAGCCCTATCATTGGGAAGGAGCTGTTGTCCTTGGTCCAGGCCTTGGCATCCCCTGGCCATAACTGCAGAGACTAAAAAGATAGAGACTAAAATGATTGGGTGTTAGGAGTTTTAACCCCAACAGTGATTTAATTCCCCAGTAGAGATTAACTGAGTGGTAACTGAGAAGCAGGGTGTGGGTGGAGGAGGTGGGCATTGGGGTGTGGCTTTGGGTATATATTTGTATCTGGAAAGTGAGGTCTCTCTCTCTCTGCCTCCTGGTCACCATGAGGTGAGCTGCACTCCTCGGCCACCCTCTCTTGCCATGATGTTCAGCCTCACCTGGAGCCCTGAGGATGGAGCCGGCCTTCTACGGATGGACTAAGACCTCGGAAATCGTGAGCCCTCAAATAATCTGTTCCTCCTCTACAGTTGTTCTGGTCAGATCCTTTAGGCGCAGCAGCAAAATAGCTGACTAGAACAGCCTCCCTGGACACAGCGCCTCTGGAGGACAGCAGGCAGCCAGAGCAAAGGCAGGTCCAAGTCACCACCTCACCAGGAGCTTCAGACTGACCCCCATATTGACTAACAAGCAATTCTTTACTGTGATTTTGAAAAAAGTCAAAAGAGAATACACTGCCTAATAGTCTAAAAATGACCTAAAATTACTCTTCTGCACATCTCCCTCAGGTCCCACTTATCTCAGCCCAGTAGCTGCCACCAGTCCCCTTCCTGCCACTCTGGGACCGCTGATCAATGTTGCAAGGTGCTGGCAGCTCAGCAACCAGGACTCTCCCCCCTAAACGGAGCAGGTGAGGCTCTGTTCCTGCCACTCTCTCAGCAAGCCTCAAATGTCAGGAATGACGCCATCGCTGTTTTTATTGCTGAGCAGGTTTTGACGGGGGTGGCCCAAGTTAAGCGGCTGAGCTAGGTAGGACCTGGCTGGACCCAGGACCCCGTGGTGGCAAGAGAAGTCCATGTGGCTGTAAATACAATTATCAGTTTCAGAACACAGGTACCAAAATCCACAGATGCGCAAGTCCTTTATATAAAACAGCATAGAATTTGCATATAACCTACACATGTCCCCCTGAGCACTTTCAATCATCTCTAGATTACTTACAGCACCTCATACAATGTGAATGCTCTGTAAATAAGTGGTTTACTGTCTTGTTCAAGGAATCACACATGTCAGGAAAAAAGTCTGTACATGTTCAGTGCAAACACAATTTTTGAAAATGTTTTCCATCTGAGGTTGGTTGAATCTGCGGATGTGGAACCCAGGGATCCAGAGGGCTGAGTGTAGATCACAAGACATTCGTTGTCTCAGCCCACCACACCCTCCCTTACAGACCCAATGTAGGCAGCTCAGCAGGAAGCTTCCTGACATTTTTCTCCAAGGCAGAACAGCAAGAGAATGGAGTAGGAAGGATGACATTTGGGAGGAAGGAAGGACCAACAGGCTTTGAAACCTTTTTATGAATCTGGCTACATTTTGAGGCTCTGGAGACACAAACGGGAAAATGAGAAAGTCCTTGCTCTTAAAGAATTCATAATTTGGGGCTGGGGCTGGGGCTCAGTGGTAGAATGCTTGCCTGGCATGTGCAAGGTACTGGGTTCAATCCTCAGCACCACATAAAAATAAATAAAAGAAAGGTATTGTGTTCAATGAATTCATAATTCATCTGGCAAGGGGGTGGGGGAAGGCAACACGGTAGAAAAGAAGACAAAGGGTACAAATAGAAAATTTATAGCAACAGAAATTTGTGGATTGGAATTTTTTTTCTTTTCTTTTTGAAACCCAAGGGCACTTAATCTCTGAGCCACATCTCCAGCCCCCTTTTTATATTTCATTTAGAGACAGGGTCTCACTGAGTTATTTAGAAACCTTGCTAAATTGCTGAGGCAGGGTTTGAACTCTTTGTCTCATCCTCCTGAGCCACAGGGATTATGGAATCTGTGGATGTTCTGGGGAAAGATGGAATTGAGGTTGCTAAATCTGAATTACAATCTGAACACAGGGACTGTATCCTAGGTTGTGCCTGATATTATAAAGGGCTTTAGACATGGGAAAGGGGAGAGAAGAAGGATCAGTCAGTGTCAGACTGATGTCATGTGAGATGTCACAGATGCTCCACTGGTCACTGCTGGGTTTCCAGACAGAAAGGGTCATGGTCCAGAACAGACTCTCCTCTACAGCTCCCCAAAAGAAATGCAGCTCTGCCCATCCTATGGGCTTATCCCAGTGAGACCAGGTTGGACTGCTGACCTACAGAAATGTAACATCATAAGTCTGTATTGTTTTAGACCATCAAGGTTGTGGTAGTTTGTTACAGCATCAACAGGAACTAATATAATATCTAGGGTTGGTAGGAGTTTCAGGAAATGGGCATTTCCAGGTGCTTTGGAGGTAATTAATATTGAGCTAGATTTTTTTTAAAAAATCTTGCAGGCAATTCATCAGCATCTATCAAAAATCTAATGCACACATCAAGGTGATTTTCCTTCCAGGTATCCATTCTAAGAAACACTTGTCCTCAATGCAAATATCTGAAAACAAAGATGTTTGAGGCCACACTGTTGTATTATTCATAATCCAGAACTAACAGAAATGACCAATGAAAGGGAACTGATTATTCCAGAGTCATTTGTATGGAGAAGTGTCTCCAGGTTGACCTTAAAATGAATGGAGTGGCCCTCTTTGCATAGTGATTTCTACAATATGTCAGAAAGTATAGCATGCCCGTATTAGAATTACACAATCCCACTTTCTAAAAGCAGAATGGAATATCACATGTGTGTCTGTGTCCTGCACATCATCTGGCACAAAATGGGCACACAGTGGGTAAGTGCTGAATGGATGAAGCCACTTGCTGCCACTGTGGCAAACAGGGTGCAAACGCTCATCCCTAGCAATGATTTGGAAATCAAAGCAAAGAACATAGGCATTCCATTAAATTGGCTTCCTCTTCCCCCAAAATTCTTTGTGGATTTGGAACTCTCACTACAAACTATATGCTTCCTTTTCCAGGTCTTTAATTGAAAACTATGAGCTAGGATCCTTCCTGTACCAATCCCCTGAGAATCTGCTGTTACATTTACCCACATAGGACATGTCCATGGCCATCCCAGGAATAGCTTCCTTTCCCCAGTGGGCCTCTGTGTGTGGCAAGGCATCCCCTGCAAAGCCACAGTGAAGCGATTCATTGTTTTCAAACAATGGAAAAATTGGGGGGCATGGAAGCTTGCCAGAGACCTCTGAAAAAATCCAAACACGTTAAAGCAACTGATTTCCTTAGCTGATATGTGTGTGAGACCTCCAGGAACGGTTATTGTCTCATCTCGCAGATGTAAAAACTGAAAGAGAGACCTGCTTTCCCTCTAGAAAACCCCGTGTTTTGTTTCGAGCTAGCCCACCAGCCTGCCTGGGTGGATGCACAATGGTCCTTCCCGTTAGAACCTGGCAACGCTTGGGAAGAATCCTGATCACATTAGAAATCCCAGGTGCACAAACTTTGAATCCTGGTTTTGCCCTTAAGAGCGGTATGACCCTGGGCTGCTGATTCTACCTCTAATACAAAAACAACAAGGCCGATAGCAGAGGCTATTTCCAGAGCTGTTGTGTTGAATTAGTGCTCTGTGAATGGTGGCCATGGCAACAGACGGCTGCACCCTCCCTCACCCCTCCGATGTCTGATTCCCTGGCACAGCCCCGCAGGGGCCCAGCTTGTCAGCAGAAAGGCAGGTCTAAAATGGCAGGGGCCTGATGCCTCCTCAACAGCTCTACAGCTCTGTCCCTGTCAACCCTGGGGACTGAACAACTAGTCCTGACTTTTTCCCAGAGGGTGTCAA